AAAAAAACGGTAAAAGAACTCTATTAATTCGTGTTTTTTATAAAACGTTTGGTGTCTTAGAAAAAGTTCGAGTGAAATATATTTTGTGTGTTTTGTATTTTACTTACCGTGCCATTTATTCTATTTAAATGGTAATAAATAGGAAAACTCAAAAAAGTTGCTGTTTATCTTACAAAACATTTTATAGCGTTTATTCCGATTTTAAAATTTTGTCACTTTTGGTTTGATTACGGTATTACACACTTTAAGATATAAATTATCAGTTCTGAAAAGTACTTATTCTTGGTTGTAATGTATGCTATGGGAATTTATCTGTTCGCGAATATATATTATTCGATGGTACATATACTATGCATATTTTACGAATCATACATTGAATGTACATATTTTGCAAATATCGCAGTGAATATACGCAAAATATACGCAATATTCACAGTGTTTTGATTGAGATAAAAACCCCTAGAATGTATGTCATTGATAACCAACGTCAAGAATATTTTATTTATTGTCCCTGGTTTGTGCATTTTTGTTTGAATGTAAAAAAGTGTCACGAATCCTAATGAAAAAAGTTCCACATATTTATTGGAATGAAAAAAATACCTGCGATCTTTTATTATGCTCAAATTTGGTTATTGTTTTTTTTAACGAGAAATAAAATGAAAAAACTATTTATTTGCTTCTTGAGTGAATTACATTTCAATCGAATTCATATTTTTGTGTCATTATTCAACCACTTGTATTTTTCACTGTGTGTCTGCATTTGTATGGAAAATAATGAGAAAATTATGAGAAATTTCGATTTTCTAAAACAACGAAACCTTGACTGCGAATCGCGGAAATAAAAACATGAAGCCTTAAAAATTGAGACCTTCTAAACAAGTCATGTTTGCGCTCTTTCTCTGCCTCCCTCACTCTGATTGTACTATATTGATTATTCATAGCAAAACAATTATAAGTAAAATAAAAAGGAGCGCCTGAAGTCAAAAAACAGAATAAACAAAAGTGAATCGTGACAAAAATCGTTAATTTCTCTCATTAAGAACAGATACATTTAAGACCTAAAATACAACAAAATATTTCTTTTCGGAAAAGCAGCATAAGAATTTATTTTAAATGAAAAAGGCGACAAAAAAACTGAGAGTAAAAAGAGCACATACGATTCTGAGAGTCAAAACAGAATATAAATTCGGATAGCTACAAAACAGACAAGCGATATGTTTTGTTTTTACTCTCAGATTTTATTTGACTCATTTTTACGCTGAAGATATATATGTTTTTATTTGACTCCCATAAATATTTTATTTGGTTTTCATCGAAAAAAAATTCGTTGCATTTTTCTCATTCGCATAATGTGACGAGATTAATGAATTGCAGACAATATATTGAGATGACACGAATTGGCCAGCAAATCGGGACATTTCAATTTTTTGACAACAAAAATTTGTGTCCTCAACTTGTGAACTCAAAAGCAGAGCCCTATTTTGGTTATAAGTTGAAGAGAAAAAAATGTGTTGTTACAAAATCAAACTTTTGGCGTTCAATAATTTCTTATGCTGTTTTTCGAAAAGAATTTTTTCAACGTGTTTGTCATATACCATAAAATAAGTCGTAGTTTTATTCACTGGTTGCTGTAAATTTTGAGCTAATTGTGTTGCTTATGCTAGCTGGATTGGGTGTTGACATACTTGCTGGATTTATTGTGTCATCGTAATTCGTCAACGCTTTGAAATTTTGGAATTCTTGTTGTGAGCTGTGTACTTGCGGCATTTGATCAATTGCATTAGATTTTGAAGCATGTGTGCTGGTACACGATGTCGGTTGCAATTCGTTTGGATGACAAATGGTTTGATTGGACACTTGTTCCCTATACGTTTGTGGTTCGATTGTTGTTGAACTATCCATATCGCGTAAAATCGTTCGATGGCTTTCAATTTTTTCAATTTGATGTTGCGTTCGATTTTGATGGCCAATTGCGTATTGTGATTCAATTGGTGTTGGCAGCATACCACGTTGTGCTAAATGCAAATGCTCTGAAACAAGCTGCAATTCTTCTTGTTGCTTCATGATCAATTGTTGGAGTTCTTCGTGCTTGCGTTGCAATTGACTTTGAATGTATAATTGTGTCGAGGTAATAATTGCATCTCGATGTAACGATGGAATAACTGGCGGCTGATGTTCTAACGGATGCATTGGTTTCTCTAAAAATATATATATATCTACTGTTAATATTTACCATCGTACTACGAATGTATGCTATACATACCATAATCATATTTTGTTGTTAGATATCCGATGGGGTTGTATGGGCCTTGATTCACATTAGCCACTTGATTACTATGTGGGATTTGTTCAATTTGTTCAATTTCATTGTGTTGCTTGCCATGTACGGCAGGTGGATATTCCGTTTTAACCTGACAACTGCCGGATTTCAGTGTCGAGCTATCACTTTTTTTAAATTTCTGCAGAAATATAAAACAAAAATATCTTACAATTAGCGAAGAATCAAATAAACAATAGAATAAAATATAAAAACCTTCACTTTTGATGCACAACTGCTTTGATTTGATGTGGAATATTTGCTGGATGCTTTTGATGATGATGAATAACATGGTGATGATTGAGCTCTTGATATAGATGTTTCTGTTATACTGGCCGTGGTACAGTTTCTACTATCACTTTTTACAGTTGGTGTTGGCGATGATGTTGAATATCTGATCACAATTAAAATTTATGATTATTTATGGTCTTAAGCCAATCAAAATAACAACCAATAAACCTTCTACGAACTGAAGAGCTGCTCTTTTCATCAGATTTTCTATCAAATGGTTTTATTTGACCCAGTTTACTGCTGTCACTTCTATTATCTGCATATATAAATTTGCAAATTGGTTTTTATTATGACCGTTATGTATTTTTTTTAAATGATATTAAATGGAAAATTTATGAAAAAAAAAATTGATTCTATGCTCACCAGATTCTTTTCGTTCGTTGCTAAATTGCTTCAGAACTTCGGCATTGCTAACAACTCGGTGTGTACAAACAATGAACTCCGGCTTTGAATTCCATTGATGATGTGATATGTAAAATCTAGTCTGTAGCCAAATCCACTGTTGACTTTTCGTTAAAAATCGATAATAACCCGAATTTCCTTCACCCTTTTCCATAACTGTGGTCCAAAAGAAATCGCTTTTATTTGACTTGCACTTACAATTGTACAAACAAAAATTTACCCATTTCATGACATGTTACAATATTATCCAAGTCATCAAAATGATTGTAATCATAACCAGATGTGCCCAATACTTCGAATGGTAAATAACCAATGATTGGTGTGGCACGATGATCAAGAAATATAAATTTCCATTCAAGACTGTGTCTCGAGGTGAATTCACTCTTTTCTGAATCTACTACAGTCATTTCACGAACCAATTGCGGCGTCTGTGTCCGCCCAATGCCTACGAATAATAATCTGAAACAAAATTTGTTAAAAGCTTGCAAAGCATTTGAATCGTTGTGGCAAAAAAAAAGCTTTTGTTTTTCTTCCAAATAATACTGTAACATGACGTTTCAAAAGTCAAAAGCACAAAATATAAATAGATTTGTCGCAGATAAATAAGAGCCATTTTTTCTCCGCAACGATTCATTTGAACAAAATAAAATTTCAATTTATACTTTAAATCGTTTTCAGCGGCAGCTCGACTGTTGCTAGTAGATGGTAACAGCTCATCGATTTCGACATCGTTCCCTAAAATAACAAAAAGTGTCAATAGTGTTATCGGAAAATGTATATATTTTTTGTTCATTATTTCCATCGCATATTTTTACTCACGAAAATACCCAATAAATTGTACTGATTCGTAAGCTTCCTCATCTCGATATTCTAAACCACCTTTTTTCATGTGACACACAAAACTGACTTGATTTTCTGTAAACATACAATTCAAAGAGATTTAAGTAATTTCAAAAATAGCATTTCTCTGTACGAAAAAATATAAATGTTGGCAAAGCGACTGATTTTCTTTTCTTTTTTTTTATATCAATGAATACGAAATGTTAAGTGATTAAATGTAAAATTTACCGATTGTGAAATCATTTTTTGTAGGATCAATTACGGTCACTGGATTTGATAAGAGATTATATACTTGTTGGTGTTCTTTTTCATAAATTATGTCATAAATGCTGGCATTCAGGAGATCGCTCTTTAATTGAATTGTGAATATGAAACAAAAAAAAAATTGTTAAATTGTTCGCTTGAAGTGTATATGTTCAAACATCATTTATGGTTTCAGAAAACGAATATACCGGCAGATGACCCAAAAGAGAGGTTATGCTCTCAGATGCATAGTATATGTTCCCATCTGAAGAGAAAACAACGATGAATCCATCCAAAGCTTCTAGCATTAAATGAGTGAATTCTTCGTTTGATAAAAATGATGGTTTCCAATTTTCATGAATTTCATGGATTCGAGATCGCATCGTCATATCTGTTATGATAAACATTAATATTTGTTTTCGGTAAAAATAAAAAGATTATTGTTGAGATTATCGATGCACATTACTCACCGTTGTGCTGTCTTAAGAAAGCAATTGTTGCTTTTAAGACTGTTGATTTGTCTAATTTTCGATTGGCTGATGACACCATCGCATTCAGTTCATTGATCAGAATATTAAATTGATCTCGACGCTTTTTCTCGCTGAGATTTCTTGACTTTCTGAAGAAAAAAAATTGTTTGATTTAAATACTAGTTTGTTTGTTTTTTTTTTTGGTGACAACCATATTTAGTTGTTGAGTTTTCGATTTGTAGCTCATAAAAGCCGCTTTGACTCTCGCCATATTATTATGTCCGTTAAATCATTTACAAACCTTTTGGCATCATCGCGTTCAATATCATCATCCATTTCGCTGAAGATTGTATGTATAACAATAATTGAAAGCACTCGGTTAGTTCCCTTTTATATTGGAAATTCCCTTTCAATTCTGTCTTATATGGTTTGTTAAATGTTCACGTGTTTATTTTTTTCACTAGCAAACTGTTATTGTTTTTCACAAATTATGAAATTGTTTCTTTTCGAGAGATGAGCGCAGTCAATATGATTTACATTGTTGTCAGCGTGTTTTACGTAGATGGTGTTATAAGTATCTTTGTTTTTTTTAATGTTGGGTAATCAAAGAACTGTTTAGTACATGCTGTAATTGTGAATTGAATCTTTTATATTGTTGATTCGCATAAGATCCACGTAAGACAATTCACAAGAAATCAACATTTTAATTTGATAGGATCTGAAGTGATGATTGGTTTCGGTTATTTAAATTAAAAGGTTTCAAATGAATCGAAATGGTTCGACTGCCATGTAAAACAGAAAATCAAATTGACAGAAACGGAATGGAATTAATACACGTGATTTTTATGATAATGAAAGAAAGAAACCAAACAAAAAAAAAACAAATTGAAAAGGAAACGTCGTAATTATAGAAATAGTGCATTATCATCATCTATGTGTAAAAATTGTTTGCTATTTGAAAGTTTTGAGGGACATTTCATAGTGAGCTTGGCCGTGAGTATGATATCGAAATAGGATGTAGTGACCGTTATATAAGAATTTTGGAAATCAATTCACTGACGAATTTTACTTGGACCAATCCCAGTATTTTCAATGGAATAAAATATGGTAATATCGTTCGTATTTCAAATCACCGGAAATATCTTCCAAAAGAAGAAACAAACGAACGGATAATAATCATAAGTACACACTCAAAATGGTAATTGTTGCGAATGGCAACAAAATATTATATCACATCGACTGTATTATTGCCTAGGGGGGAGACACAAACGATTAAACCATGATTCCAATATAAAAACACTAATCCTACTATTCCACCAATACGTCATTTCATTGTCAAATGTGATCTCACATTTCGCCGCTATTCACTTTGTTGAAAACTTATTTATCGATACTGGAGTATGACATTTTGTTATTGATAATTAAAATTATTTTTTTCATCAATAAAATTTTGAGAAAGTGTATCTATTGTTTTGTAAATTTGTAATCGACTTTTGAACTAAAAAATATTTCAAAAAAGAACAAATTACTATCTCAAAACAAGTTCAATGCTTTTATCAAATTCTGTACTATCGATTACAAAAACTTTGAATTAACCCATTTTCGCTATTCCATACACAGGATTAGTGAATCCATGTGAATCCAGCTACTGAATTCTCTATTCCACTTTAATTTCTCGAATTTTTACACTAAAAGTCTAATCCTATTCCATGTGTCTACCCCCTAGATTATTGCAATATTCGACACTTCAACACACAAGAGAAACAATATGCTAAATCTGTTATATAAATGATTTCTTACAAAAAAATTTCTTAATGTAAAAACCCATTTGAGCTTAATTGCGCCTTGAAATTTGCTCTTTTTTATCAGTTTTATGATATTTACACCATGTTGAACACCAACATAATTTTGTCACAAACATTAACGCACTTTATGTTATTTTAACAAACTGTCGTTATGAACAAGTAGAAATGTTTTTCGCATTTATTCTCACGTATTCATGTAATACCACAATACGGATAAATTTATTTTGTTTCCACATTGATCACTCACTGAAAATACGATTTGAACAATCTTTTATGTAATTTAACTTGATTTTCTTTTGTAAAATGTACATACTTGTTGCTTGTTGCTTGGATGCATGGCGTGAATAAATCCATGATAAAATCACAATAATGAAATATTCCATACATATGTACCCGATTCAAATAAAAAAAACCACCCAATCAATTAATGTAGCCGGTAATGTTACATTTCCGAATTTGTGAACGAGTGAAAAAAAAGTGCCTTTCAAACCTCAATGCCGGTGGTGCGTTATTAAAATGACATTGTATCATTCATTTTGATATAAATTCACCCACTTGTTGTCGTGAATGAAACTTACAGCACAAAATCACAATGGTCATGCAATACTCTACACTCCATATTCCTTTCAATGTATTGCTGACATAACATTTTGATCACGTTTCTCATATTATCAAAACCAATCAAATTGAAAGTTAATACGAAGTTTTATCAAAGCATATAAATAATTTTTATGGGATATTTTTAAAAGTAGTCAATTATTTTCAGAAAATGTGGATATTCTTTAGCAACCAATTAAAACTGCAATATTGTCCATTTTCATTTTCTGCCACAAAGAATTTAATTAATTTAAAACAAAAATATATGTATATTTTTACATTTATTTGCTTATTTCGCTCCCGTTATTTTCTGTATTCGATTCTGTATTCGACTGTAGCAAATATTGGTGGTCGAGCGTATTGAACTTGGTGGTTGCGAGGAAACATTTGCTATCGTTTTTGCGACAGGTAATTACAACGTACCAATATACGGACCGTAGAGATATGTTGTGAATGGCAACGGAAACGAATTGAGGAACAAATCTTTTGTGTGTGCGCGCTCGTTGTAGTTGTGTGTATATGACAGGCATAAATACACAATAAAAACTCTCATATAAATCAATTCACCCTTATTGTATGTTAACCTGTGTAACTCAATATTGGAATATGGACCACTTAAAACGAAAAGAGAGAAGACTTATATTATTTCGTGTGTTTTTCAACATATATTACGGTTGCTTCAAATTCGATGTGATTATGGTGAAAGGTGCGCACCTGAAATAGACATTTTAGTGAAATCATACAAAAGCAGTTCTAACTGTGTGTTGTTTATTGTCATTCTTTTTTTTCGTTCATTCGTTTGTTAGTACTTTTATTTCTTCTTTTTTGGGGAACTCGGTGGTGGTGGTTGTGGTGGTGTAGTAATGGTGAAAAAGAAGAAGCCAACGATGACGGTGATAGAAATGACGATTTTCATATGGAATATTTTTGCCGCGCGGTAATATATTTGTAATCATAATACAAAATGTAATTATTATCAAAAACTATTGTCTTTTTATAATTCTTACAAATGCCCATATTATTTTACATTTTTCACAAAAACTACAAATTCAATTCTTTGTCGATTCGGCAAAACTTTGATGTTATTTTAATGAACGAATAAAGTTTAAATTCTTTTTTTTTTATAAAGAAAAAACTTTATCAAAAATATACTCTTCATCAAAATGCTTGTGATTAACAATATTCCGAAAAATGCGTCACTGATTTATTTGAAACTAACCAAAAAATAAAATAATGTTAATCTTACAAAAATGCTGATCACGCAAATATTCAATCAAATATAATTTTAAGAAAACTATTCGTTACATGAAATGTTATAAAATAATTGCATCACTTATTATTATTTTTTGTTCATGCTGTCACATTTTTATAATTTTCACATTGTTCTCCTTTAAAATGTACGTATTATTTTGATGAACATTTAAATCACTATTTCCGTAATTACCGACGAGCGTCTTTTTCGAATAAATAATTTTGTACAACTGCTTCAGATGCCGATTGATATTGAAATGTCGAGGAGAAAATTGTGTTTATTATCCACAAGTCCCTGCGCTTCGTTGTATGTTCGATGTATTATGTGTGTTTTTTTCCTGCTACGTGTTGCCTTTTCCGTACAAAGTGTATATACGATCCATATGGTGAGCTAAGCGATTATTTATCGTATGTATGACAATATAATTGCATTCTTTACTTCGGAATCAGTAGGTGTAAAATTCGTTTTCATTTTGAAAAAGAAAAAAATACAAATAAAAATGAATGAACTGTATCATACAGTAATATTTATAATTTTAAATATGAAACATGTCAAGTATGATACATATTTTGACTGCAATAAAAATAGTCACAATTGCCATGCGTCCTCACCAGGGGTCTGAGGTGTCAGATTACACCCCCCCATGAGGTGAAGGAATTCCTCAAGAGTTTTCTAAGAATCCTTTTAATTTGCTAAAGTTTTTGATTGGAAAAGTGAAGACCTTTCTTTATTTTAGTTCATCAAGTTTTGGAAATGGAACAAATTTTTTCGATTTGCTGGGGAATTTCGCCAAGGAAAGTGATCTCAAAAAAAAAAATGGAAAAACGTACACTTTACACTAAATTTCGGGGCTCGGAAGAATTTTTTATTCGTGCAAAACCATGCATATTCACCATACCACAAATATTGGTCCATTTTGAGTAGTGAACAATAACTTCACTTTCTGTGAATATTCGTGAATAACATCATTATTCCTGATTATCGTAAATACGCAAAATGGTGCATGTGATTTAGTGGAACTTCATTTGTAAAATCACAAAGGCTTACTATAAGAATATTAATTGCAATATTTTTATGCAATAATAGCATGATTATTAATGTGTGTGTTTCAAATCGGTGCTATATACGAGCTGTATAATTACAAAAAACAACGATAATCACGAATATTTGTAATATTTGTCGCTTTATACCAATTTCATACAAAACGGTGTTTATTTGATGTTTTTGTTTCAAGTTCCGAGCCCCTAGCACTAAATAGAATTAACTTTTTTGCTTACCCCTTTCGTTTTTTTAATTTTTCAATTAACAAAACAACCCCCCTTTCCCCTTGAGGACGTACGACAATTGTAGTGAAGTACTCAGGTATTGTTATACAGGGTGTCTCATATAAGACTACTGAGGATATACATTTCGTTTTTCTCTTTTGTTGGTATAGTTTTCGAAAATCTACTCCGATAGAAATTCGTAGAAATTTATTTCCAACATTTCTATCGGAGCAGATTTTTAAAAATTATACCAACAGAAGAAAAAATCGAAATTTATACCCTCAGTAGTGAGCCACTTATATGAGACACCCTGTATGCTGCATATTATTATGAGATTGTCGCATGGTGAAACGGTTTTGAAAGCAAAATGAAATGAAACATTTCTGCACTGTCTCACTAAATCAATGAAATGTGATAAATTCAGCATATAACAATCCCTGCCATTTATGTAGGAACAAATGAAAAGTGATTTTTGTTTTAATTTTGAACCGTTTGCAAATAGCATAATTTCAGGCTGTTTTCTGTTATTGAATACTTAACTCGCTCATTGAAATTAATTATTACCTACCTGGAATTTAATCTAAATTTAACAATTTTCGAATATTGTTCATCGTTCGCCTCCAACTCCCGATATTCTGCATAGAAATAAAAACACATTTACATTTATAAACGATGAATGCTACCACTCTGGGATGTTTTCGATTTGGCAAAAAAAGTGTCATTGAACTGGCATTTCAAGATGTGTCGTCAATGTTGTTGTTGACGTGTTGCAATTTTTATTGCAATTAAATGACTTAGAGTTCATGTATTATTTACGCTGAAAATCTAGTTTTAAATGAATAACATTTAAATACATTTGGATTGTATGCGTCCACGTGCACAAAACAAACAAACGAAAAATAAATGTATTTATGTAGTATATGAGTATGAATGAGTGCTTGTCTATGGTGTAAATGCATGTGTCGGAAATAATTTGATCTGTTTCCAGTGAGCTAAGCAGTAAGTGAATTCAAAAAATGCACATAAATCTCATGGCCTACTTTGACGATAGCATCTCTCTTCAATATCAATTCTTATTTTGAACAAAAAAACCAAAATCGGACTTACAACAACATATTTTTTTTCGCATTACATTCAAATTGAAAATCGTCAATGAATTGTTAAGAGCATCGACAACGAGAATGCAGAATGCGAGTTTGTTTGTAAATAAATCTCCTTCGATTGTGTTTATTAAAATCAAGAAAATAACAACAAAACTATACATTTTGACATGGGTTCTATGGCCGAAATTGATAAACAGAAAAGGTTCACATAATAAGCCAATGGTTGATTAGCAATTACGCTACTACAATATTGTATATAATATTCATTAGATCATGTATGATATGAATTTAACACAAATAATTTTGGGCTTTATTTTAAGCTTAAGCCAAATTTGGTATATGATTATTTTATAATCGCTATACCAGAGTAAAAAAATTTGATATTTTGAATTCTTGGTTGTTCTTTATATCTAAAACGCAATTTATTGAATAAAGTTGATAATATGTGGACGAGCTTTGTTGTTTATTGTGTATTTTAGATAAGCGATCAATTCAAATCGGATGTTTATTCATCAGAAATAATGCGTTGAAAATCGGTTGCGCTCAAAAGACAAATGCGAAAGAATAAAAAAAACAACATAATTTCGTTGTCAATAACTTGTCTTCCGATTTTTATTTGTTTATTTTTCAATCAATGAACCTCTCATCGAATCGATATTTTGCGATCGACAGTTAACTGTATATAATTACCATGTTGGTATGCATTTGAAAAAGTAAAAGAAAATGTGATTGAATTCACAAACACACAAATAAAATGCTGAAAATAAATAAAAACAAAAGTTTACGTTGTTTTTGTGTATCTCTGATGCTTGAACGAAACCAGTTTCAATATATTTGCATTTGTTAATCGTTAAATTATTTGATAATTTTTCTTTGAGAGATTTTGTATTTGTATTGTTGACCGGTTCATGTATAGACAACAACGTTCACTTATAACCACAATATCAACAAAGAGTAATATTTAGTTAATTCCTGAAATCCGATTGAATCGGTTGTGCAGTTAAAGAGCGTATCAAATTATAAATTTAAAACATACAAGTATCTCTTTTGCCAAACGGTTTTCGTTTGTCGACGTACAATCATTTGGAAAAAGTATTGTAAATATTGTTAAAACTAAAAATCATGTATGGTAATACTGGAAAGAGCCACGAGGTATGTACATTGCCGGCAATTATTGTTTTTGTTTAGTGCAACCGGCTAAGCCTATGAAGAGACAAAATGCGAATTCCCCTCATCTGTGCCATCTTGTATTCCATAGTTGAACTCAATTTAGTTACAATGAATTGAATCGAAAAAGAGAAAAAAAACAACAACAGTAACATGGCTACATAGATCTGTTGACCAGTGAGATACGTATAGCAATGGAATGAAAGAATGAAGAAAGCGTATATGTGTATGTATGCATCAGCACGCATAGATGTACAGCTCTGTGTGGCCGTGCTATTGTTGTTGTTTTTTCACTTTTTCATTTCAATGCTACAGAATTAAATTCAGTTTTTGCATCTAATTCACACTAAAATCAAATGGCGCTCATTAGCGAGATTCGCAAAAAAAAGTCTCCAATCTCATACAAATATACACCGGCTGGTTTAGTGTTGATTTTGGGTGTTTGCGATTTTGAAGTGATTATTTGACATAGAATTTTAGTTCTGAGAAAATTTAAAATTAAAAGCCAATCAAGCGAATGTCTCAAGTTAACGACTTAAAAGTTAGACTCAACGATTAATGGACCGTCTTCAAGTGCTTTATTTGGAAATATCGCCTTTAGGGGTAAAAAGGCAAAAAAAACTCTTTTGGAAAACAACTTAAAAAAAATTGGTCAATATCACTTAAAATGTCAATGAATTCATCCTGTTCAGCGTCCGTAATGTACCCAATCCTGTTTATTCGATTTCGATATGAATTTTATGAATATCAACTGATTGTGACGCTAATTTTGTCTGCCATTTCATCAGTTTTAAATTGTGATTGATGCGCAAAAAAATATGCTTTACCTCATATTATCATAAATACCTCCTTTCTATTCCAAATGATCATTGAGATATTTTTTATATATGCATATTTTGATGGTGATTGATGTTGATCAACATTTTTTTTTTCGATTTGTATGTTTTTAGCATATATATCTCTCTCTCACAGATTATAGATATAACACATAAACATACGTCAATGTTTTCTAATAAAAATAGCAGCAAAATATGTAACCGGTTTTTCTTAAATTTGTACACGAAAAAAAATATATTTTATTTGCCGCAACCAAAATGCTGATGAAATAGGTTTATAGAATGTCAGAATTATGTTTGTAATTTTGTAGTCAACACTCAAACCATTTAATATACGATTGTAAAGCATAAATTGTGGAGAGGGGAAACCTGGAGAAAACTCACTTGGTTAATTATTTCGATCAATCGTTTTTTGATTTACAATTTTGGAATGAAAAACTTGATTCAGATATTAACTGAAGGTGAACATTACAAGCATACACTTGCACATAGCAAACGAGTTGTCACTTAAATCAGAAATTCGTGCAAACCTTATTTCTTGTATTTCTTAGAACACAATAAATATTTGTAATAGTGTTTCTTGTCGAAACTGATTTTTTATAAAAATTTATTCTGGAATTGTATTTAATAGCTAACGCTCAAGAAAGGTGGATCGTATATTATGGAGAACAAGAATTCAAATGATGCGAAAAATGCGTTGATTATATTTTCATTGGAAAAAGATTCGGATTCGGGCGCATTGGCAAAATCATTGAAAATATTCAATGATAAAAATGTGAATTTAGTTCATATTGAATCACGTTCGTCAGCACGTAAACCAGGCTACGAATTTCTTGTCGAATGTGACAGTACAACGGGTAATTTGGGCGATGCCATCGAAGAACTCAAGGCGACCACAAATTATTTGAGTGTCATTTCACGAGATTACAATGATAATACAACGGCTGTACCATGGTTTCCACGGCGTATTCGCGAATTGGATCGTTTTGCCAATCAAATTCTATCTTACGGTGCGGAACTTGACTCTGATCATCCCGGATTCACAGATCAAACATATCGTGAGCGAAGGTTAGTGTGTCAAAACAATAATTGAAAATATTGAAATATGGAATTTTTGTTTTGTTTCATTCATTTATTTAATAATCTTTCAATCTCGATCATATAAAAATAGAAAATATTTTGCTGATATTGCATTCAATTATAAACACGGTGAAAAATTACCGCATGTGAATTATACAGAAGAGGAGATAAGAACGTGGGGCATTGTTTTCAATAATTTAACTAAATTATATAAGACGCACGCTTGCCGAGAGCATAATCACGTTTTTCCATTGCTTATCGATAATTGCGGTTATCGCGAAGACAACATTCCACAATTGGAAGATGTTTCAAACTTCCTCAAAGGTTTGTTTATTTATTGCATTTTATTTGACGACATTGACCTTTCTCAAGGAGAAAAATATGTTGTTTTTCTGTTATTGTCATATTACGTGCCCCATGCATGTACACAATTCGAGTGGAATTCTATTAAAAAAAATTCGACAGCAGTTGGACGCCAATTCATTTGAAAATTATTGACACAAAGTTCGATTTGACTCTCTATATAGATGGGGATTTTCTGCTATAAGATTATCTCATGGCGATAACTATGTGTCACTTGTCAAGTGCTGCATATCATTTATATGAAATAATTATAAATATTCGGACAATATTGCTGCATATTAATCAACGACAAAATATCATTTGAAACTAAAGTTTTGCACTGTGTGTATAAGCTTCAGCAAATTAAAACTCAGCAGTGCGAAAATTGCATCAATAATGTGCATACATTTTTTTTCTCACACATACAATTTATAAATAACTTATTTTTTTCCTTGAGTTATATCGATTCTGCCCATTCTTGACATTTATATGTGTATCTGTTTTAACTGTGATGGCTTTTTTTTGCAATTTAGATTGTACCGGTTTTACGTTGCGACCTGTAGCCGGTTTGTTGTCGTCGCGAGATTTTTTGGCCGGTTTGGCATTCCGTGTATTTCATTCAACGCAGTACATTCGACATCCAAGCAAGCCATTGTATACACCCGAACCAGATGTATGTCATGAATTGTTGGGTCATGCTCCATTATTTGCTGATCCAGCGTTTGCACAATTCTCCCAAGAAATTGGATTGGCTTCGTTGGGAGCACCCGATGATTATATTGAACGTTTAGCAACGGTAATTATCAAATACATCATATTTCAATTTGGAAAATAGAATGTTAATTTGTGTGATTTTCGTTTACAGTGCTTCTGGTTTACGGTTGAGTATGGTTTGTGTCGCCAAGATGGTGAAGTCAAAGCCTATGGCGCCGGTTTGCTATCATCATTCGGTGAATTGGAATATTGTTTAACCGACAAACCGGAACTGAGAGAATTCGAACCGAGTAAAACCGGCGAACAAAAGTATCCGATTACCGAATACCAACCAGTTTATTTTGTTTCGGACAGTTTTGAGGATGCCAAAGAAAAAATGATGTATGTATTATCTATCGCTTTAATTTTTTTTTTGCATTAAATTGCATTTTATTTGAAATTGATTTCAGAAAATATGCAAACACCATACCCCGACCATTTGGCGTCCGTTATAATGCGTACACGCAAAGCATCGAAGTGCTCGATTCAAAACATCAATTGGAACAATTGATGCAAGAGTTAAGCACGGAATTTCAAACGCTTCACAATGCATTCAAAGTACTACAAGGTTAAATCGATATAAACCATTCTTCTTCTATTTAAATTTTATCAAATCAATGAACTTATCTATCTATACTTCAGTGAGCAACAAAATTAATGTTACTTTTATTATTTTTTCGAAAATAATTTATTCAATTAAAAAATGTCTGTGTACATCCCACAAAAGCATAACATTATATTGAAAGGACAACGTACAAAATTAATTGTTTTTTTTTTTTTGTACATAAATATATAATTCACTCAGCACTGACGTCTGAGAGGATAAAATACAAAATTAATTTTGATTTAGAGGTAGTAGGTTTCATACTAAAAGTCGGCTAAAAAGCTTCACAAATTCCAGTAAATTTAAAAAAGAATTGCTCATAAGACATGATTTTTCAGCTTTTTCAAATAAAAATAAACTGAAAAACATTTAGAAGTAGTGATTATATTCCGGTTGATTCCATGATGAATAGTATCGCAAGAAATTATTATCTGCAATTAGAATAGACAAAATAAAAATAAATCATAAATTTCAATGCAAAAAATACGCTGTATAAGGCACTTACTCGCTGAAAATGCGTGGCGACGTCGATGTGGATTATATTGTAGCGGACGATTCTTGCGAACATTTTTAATAATACAACCAGGTGGAATAGCACGCTAATGTCAATAGAAAATTATTTTAAAAATAAATAAATAAAAGAATGATATAATTATCATCGTTTTTTCTTTGTTTCACCCAATTAATTTAAAAATACATGCACACAGCAAGCGGTTATATCAAAATATCTCCTTTTTTGATGATGCCTGTTATTTTTCAAATTGCAGCTTAATTATCCTATCGTTGTATACAATCTAAATTATTGACTTTTTTCGATCATCAATCGATGTTATACATAGATTTAAAGCAAGGAAGGCACACACGCACACAAACAAACACTATCGAAGCATTAGTCAACAGTCCAGTGATAAATATCGATGAAATTTTTTGGTAGCTCATTATTGGAATGTGTCACATGAATTTGATTTTGTACAGCATGTCTGAGATGATGGTTTTTCGGAAGCTTGCGATAGAACACACGTACTCTACTTACAGGAAACGATGTATCCAATTTCATGTCTGGTTGACCTTTGCACAATAAATATGTATCGTGATCATTAAGATTATTGATCTGTGGTCCGTTCACGTAAGGTGCGTTCAATTGAGCACGAGCTAAAAATTACCAAAATTACAAATTATCAACCGAAAATGTTGAATTTTTCACTTTATTTCGATCAGAACTCACCTGCTGGTCGAACAACAATTGTGAATTGACATGTTCCATTTTGGTTTTGTACATCGGTTGCAATATATGTGATTCTATGTTGGCCAACGCCAAACGTTGTTCCAGGTAAATGTGATTTGAAGATTTGCTTGAGTCGAACTGTTCCGGCTTGGAATGCAGGTTCTCTCCAGTAAATGGGACGTTTTAGCTCATGTGGCTGCAATTGAACGTCCTGAGTTGGTGGACAAAAACTAACTTTTGGACCTAAAATTGAAGCGGGAACAGCCGGAACAAATGTTACACCGTTGACTGGTTTCACTGTAAGAATTGTTCGACATGTTTCAGTGATACTCGCCGAATTGGGACTATGTGCGGTGAATGTAATTATATGTTGACCGGCTGCTAAATGGGCTTGCAAATTTTTCGCCCATTTTGGATTTGCCTCAATATAAGCCCAATTAACGTTCGATTTTGGTTGTTCCAATTTAATATGGATAAATTTTTGATTTTTCGGCAACGAAATTACTGTATCTTGCGGACATTTGATGTATGGTCTCACAATATTTTGTGTTGATGAGCTTGATTGAGTGGTTTCGCCAAGTTTAATATGGCCTACATGATGTGTTTCACCACCTTTAATCACAGTTTTTATTTTTGGCTTTCCATTTTGTCCGTTTTGTCCATGATTTTCTAAGTGATTTTGTCCGCTGTTTTGTGCGCTTTTTTGTCCGTGATTTTGCCCATAGTTTTGATTATGGTTTGGTTGTTGATTTCCTTGCGATGCATAATGTTGAGTTTGAACATGATGTTGAATTGGTTCACAACGTAAATCAGTTTTCGTCCATTGTCTGTTAGGTAAGCATTGTGTGATGCCCGGTGCAGCACTCTTAAATCCTTGTGGACATATAAGGGCGCAACTTTGACCTGGATACATTCTTCCATTCAGACAATCATCACTCATTGTTCCAGGTTGTATTACTTGAAGTGGTGGGCATGCCGATTCTTTTAAATGACCGACAAATGAAACAAACAATTTTGGTTTTTTTTTTCATTTGTTTTAAATAAAAAAAATTATTATGAACTTACGAACACATGATATTTCGGTTGTATCCCACTGGCCATCAGTGCTGTTGCAATATTTAACTGATGGTCCCATCAATGTGAATCCGTCTTTGCACCAAAAGCTACATTTTGTTCGATGGAACGATTGTGATGAATGTCGAGATCGTGAACAACGCACATTACCATGTTCTGGAGCTGCCAGAGCTAAGCACGAGTCTTTGACTTCTGTTTAAAAGAATGATAATGAGTTTATTGACCATTTTGTAAACGACAATCCAAATGAAGTGTATACTAACCAACGCACGTCACTTTATCGTTGTCCAATTTATAGCCTGTTTTACAAATACATCGAAAACCGCCCAAGAAATTAATACATTCAGAGTTTGGCGAGCATCCACCATTTTCATAGACTTCACATTCATTTACATCCGCACAATTACCGGCGGCGTTCAAGCGAAAACCTTTCGGACAATCCTTTTTATCACATTTATACGATCCGATTGTATTGGTGCATTTGCCCTCACATCCGTGATTCAATAAGCATTCGTTAATGTCTGAACAACTAAATTATGCAAATGATTTGTTTATTTTTCTTTTTTGTTTTTAAATTATTGGTTAAGTTTTTATTTGTGATGGGTTAGTGAAACTTCGGTGTTTATCGAATGAAAACACCAAAAATGGATCAATTTTTTTTTTAAATATGTAGCTGTAGATGAATGAAATTGTTATGTATACACTTCTAACCTTCTGTTGTCCGATGCATTTAGTTCGAATCCTTTATAGCAAAAGCATTGAGCCTTTCCATTCAATGGTTCACAAACATGAGCGCAGCCACCATTTTTCAAACCACACGGATCGGAACTGATGCAAGTCTTTTTATCATCAGCCAATGTGAAACCATCTAAATCACATTCACAGTACATATCTCCTTCGATATTCACACACTTTTGATCACATCCACCATTATTTATGGCACATTCGTTGATATCAATGCAAGTACTTAAATCGCTAGCCAATTTCATTCCATTTGGACATGAACAAACAAACGATCCCGGTGTGTTTGTACATTGATGTGAACAGCTTTTCGGTGCATTTTCATCGCATTCATTTTTATCGATGCATTCGTTTGTCTCAGATAGTTCATAGCCAATTGGACAATGAGGATTACAATGAAAACTGCCATCAGTATTAATACATTTTGAATCGGCACCACAAGCATTAGGTAAAGCACACTCATCAATATCAATGCAGGATAAATGATTTCTGGCCAATTTATAGCCGGTGTGACATCCACATTCGTAGCCTCCCGCCACATTCTTACATATTTGCTCACAATCATGAATTGAAGCCGTACACTCGTCTACGTGCAAAAATGAAATGAATCGAATGAACATTTGACAATGAATCGGTTAAATAAATGATTTTGTGATTTGAATTGTTTCAACAACAACAACAAAAAATGGTGGGGTAAAAAATGAGGAGCGAATTTGAGTTGAATGAATTTTCATCATGACAAACGAAATGTTTGGAAAGTATATTATAACTGTATATTCAGACTGACACATTTATTTCATAAGATGCCTTGAATTGTATTTATTTAAAGAATATGGATTGATTCCAACATTTAATCACCTCACCCTTTTTTCATCTTCAAAAAAAGCACAAATGAATTGAATGACGTTGATATTAGTCTTACCTATATCGTGACATGTATGTTTATCAGCCCTCAACTCAAAGCCGGCCTCACAGGCGCATTGATAAGAGCCCAATAGATTGATACAAATATTCGAGCAATTGCCATTATTTTCAATACATTCGTCTACATCCAAACAAGCATATTTATTGGATGCAAGCTGATAGTTAGCATTGCATATGCATTCATGTGTACCATTGTGGTTTACGCATTGATGTTCACAGCCGCCATTATTTGTCAAACACTCATTTTGATCGATACACACTTTTCCCGCTTCGTCTATTTCGAAGCCAACGGGACACGAACAAGTCAGTACACCCTTATTTGAATTACACTTATGCGAACAGCCGCCGTTATTCACTTCACATTCATTTAAATACTCGCAGGCATGATCATCATTAACTAAAAACATACCTTCTGGACATGAGCATACTGCAAAACACAAACAATTGGGAAAAACATATTGTCGTACATAAATACTGGTTGATATGATTAAATAAAATGAAACTTACGATAGCTTCCTTGCAGATTGACACACGTATCCGAACATTTTCCGTTGTCTATTTCGCACTCATCTTTGAACATATGGAGAAAAAAATTAGAATATCAAATGAAAATTACATAAAAATTTAAAACTAAATATTCTTTTTATAAAAATTTTTATTATTGGACAATTGCGTACTTATATCAACGCATTGATGTTGATCAGCAGACAGACTGTAGCCAGAACGACACGTGCATTCTGAAACAAAAATTGATTTGATAAAATTAAGGAATTTTTTCATAAAACAAATGCTGGTTCATATGATAAAATAAAATAAAACTTACGGTATGAACCTTGTGTATTGATACATTCATGATCGCAATTTCCATTATTAACATCACATTCATTTTTATCGATGCAGTTTCCGGTGCCTTCATCTTTTTCAAATCCATCGAAGCACGTGCATTCAAATTCGCCTTCTGTGTTAACGCACTGTTGGGGGCAACCGCCATTGTTTTGCAAACATTCATTAGCATCATGGCATGTTTTTGCATCGTCAAATGTTTCGAAACCGGGGAAACATTCACATCGATTCATTTTATCGTCGCATACTTGTTGACATCCACCATTGTTTTCGGCGCAAATATTCTTTTTTCGACATGTTTTACCATCCGTATCAAGTTCAGCGTCGTCAAGACATGAACAAATCACTTTTTCATTCACAAAATTACAAATATCCGAGCATCCACCGTTATCAGCGGCACAAATGTCAGCCGCAACGCATGTATGTTGGTCGTTCGATAAGATTAAACCATCTGGACATTCACATCTTGAAACAGAAGTAAACGATTCGATTGTGATTTATGACAAAATAAATAATTTCTTTGAATATAGATATTTGATTACTTACAGGTAAGAACCGTCGGTATTCATACATTTATGTGAGCATTGATGTGTTCCAATGGCACATTCATCATAATCAACACATCTAAAAATACAATTCATTTTAAGTACATTGTTTTATTGAACATGCTTAAAACACACTCGTCCCATGTCTACCTTTGATTATGTTCTGCAAATCCACTTGGACATTCGCATTTAAAAGATTCACTATCGATGTTAACACATTTTCCGGGCAAACAACGATCGCCCGATATACTGCACGCATCGAGAAAAATGCATGTTTTCATATCAGCATCCAGTGTAGCACCATCCGGACATTTGCATCTTGAAAAAAATGTACATTTGATTATAAATGATGACAATTTTTTTTAATTGGATTACTCACTGGTAACCATGAACATCATCAACGCAATCGTGTGAGCATTTTGTTTTATTTGCCGCAATATCATTTAAATGTCGGCAAAAATCTTGTTCGCATGTTCGTTTATCGTCACCAAGATGGAAATTATTCGGGCAAACGCATCTTGAATGAGGTAAAATTATTGTAGGCAAATAAAATCGCATTGAAAACATTACTTACAAATATGATCCAACTGTATTAATGCATTGATGAGAACAAATTGTTCTGGCTGTCGGTGTATTCTCCTCATATTCATAATCGGCGAATGTTGTACATTCATCAATGTCACTAAAAATGTATAAAAATGGTTTCAATGACATTATGATTTGTTGGTTTGATGCTTCTCAAACGAAGTGACTCATTATCATTCAAATGTTTTACCGGCATGTTTTCTCGTCGTCTTTCAACACAAAGCCGTCGGGACAAGTGCACTTTGGTGGAATTAAAAAAAATAAATAACAATATTGATTTGTTTATTCTTCTATTTTCTAGCATTAAGAGATTACCTGATAGCCACCAACTGAATTTTGACAGTATTCGCATCCAGTATTTCCTTCGGCGCATTCATCAATATCGATACAATTATTCGATTCGTCCAACCGTAGTCCATCTCCACATGCTTTGACTGGTGCATTGAATTCAGTTGACGATAATACATTAACTGTTGTTGGAATAATTTCAACATCGTCCAAACAACGATACGATCCCATCGTATTCTCACATTCATTTGGGCAAATACTTGGATATTCACATTCGTTTATGTCTTAAAGAAAATGTGGAAAATTATCAAATGAAATGAAAACGGTTGTTATTTAAAAAAAAAAACGAAGAGAATTCGTTGAGAGTCAATTTATTTGAAACTTGTTTTGCTTCGAAATTTTTCACCAGCGATTGACTAATTTATTATTTTTCTGCGACACATTCTGCCAACAGAAATGGTTGCAACAACAAAATGATTGAATTCTTCAAATATTTCAATCGCAGGAAAATGAAAATTCTCAGAATCGCGTTGCATTTGTTTTGGTTGGATGTAACCAGTACCGATGAAACATCTTCGAACGGAGCAAAGCATTCATTTTCGCTGCAAACGAAAATGAAAACCAACAAATCAACACCGACACCGCATCAACATTCAAAATGAGAAATGTGAATGTTTTCACGATTTGTATTGCAGTGTGAGCGCACACCATTTGAATCACTGTGAATATAATCAGCAAAGGCATAAATCAGCATCTTTTATATTACTGTGTTGACGCCACTTACCCATCACTATTCACTCTTTTTTTCTTAGCTCCTGGTCGATATTTTTCAATTTTCTCTTTTGGTTAGGTTTTTTTTTAAATTTCCACATGATTTTTTTTATATATTTAACTAGAATCGCATTTCATCTGGTGCTGACAAATGCGATAAGCATGCCATACATATGAGATGGTTAAATTAGCGATGAATTCAACCGCAACAAATTCTATAGTGGACAGATTTAAATTTCCATTAGTCTATTAAATATAGTATAGTTTCTTTTTCCAATTTGTTCACATTTCTACGAATCGGTGTGGAAAAGAAAAGGCGTGAAATTCGTGTTTAATTGATCGTATGTGACATCATTCAAAATACGAGGAAATGTGTGGAAAACATTCTTTCAGCATGATTGGGAGGGGGAGAGAAAATTGCAAAACTACGCACAATATTTTAAAGCAACACACCGAAATTGGAAGAACACTTTCAAACACAAATGATTTTGTGGTGTTTGTGATGAGAGAGGAAATGTGATCAAATGATGCGCGTGTCCAATAACCAAAAACTGCACTCAATTCGTCGTGAAATAAACAAATTGTGGTGATTTATAAAATTTATATGAGCAGGAAGAAATTCGAGCCGATCAATTTTTAGAATCAAATGACGCAATCAACGAAATTAGTCGTCTTCTAACACATTTTCGAATAAAAAATGATTACTTTTATATTTTCCACTAATGAATTAATGTGAATAGATGAGACCAACAATAAAATTAAGCCAAAATAACGAATTGTAATTGATTCATATTTATCTGCGGCAAAAATACGTGTGATTTATAATCATAATGGCAAGAGTACGCAAATATTTGACACACGAACAAACGGGACATGTGTTTTTTTTTTTGGATCGATGCCTAATGAAAAAGTAAACACGATCAAAATGATCCTACGCATCAACCATTTAATTTTTTTCTTTTTGAAATATATATATTTTTTGTGATTGAATATGCTTTTACTGGATGCCATTTGATACATTGTGGTTAACACAAAGTGCAATAAAATAAAAATCATAATCTATCTACATCAATTTCAACGTGAACAGCCGGTGTATGATGACAAATTGAAATTCTTAACCTTTCAACGCGGTTTTCATTAAATTTAGCATAAATCTTCTCTTTTTCTTTTTTAATTTGCATTTCGCCATTTTTCATCGTTGCTCTTGACAACAGTTTTTCTGGTCATTTCGGAAAATGATTAGCATAGTAGCGACGAAAAAAAAAATCAATTCGTGGAAAACAAAGACGAATAAAAAGAAACTGTCCGACTGGCATTCATGTGAAATAAATTCTGTTGCATTAGCGATGAAATTTATGAGAGTGGCTTTCAATTCAAAATGCTATCTATTGAACATAGATTTCGGATCATTTCACTGTCGAGTTCATTTATAATATTGTGTGAGCGTATATACGTGTAGAGATGTATTTGACGACGCAAACAAGATGTGATTTGTATCTAGTTTATAGAATTGTGTTCGGCTGTCATGTACCGTCTCCCTTTTTAATTCAATCACGTGTGCATCATGACAACTGATGATTTTATGACCGAATACATATAAACTATGCATTGACTATACACCGAATGCGATTCCATTCGTGTCGGGGAAACGGAATAAGAGAAACATATTGTGTGAATGGAAAATACGGATGAAAAATGTTTGATCTTATGCTGTTTGATCGTCAAAGCGTTCAAATTTAGAAACATGAAAACGACCATAAAATCGCAGACGTGCTAATATATCTAATAGTTCATAAGATGCATGTTTTACGGCATATGTATGGCAATCCGTGCTATGAATATTTTTATTTTGCCCACCAAATGGGATACAATACAAATATTAACTCACCTAAACATTTAACTCCATCCATTTGATCCAAGTAGAATCCAATATTGCATGAGCATTCAGGAACATTGGCGCCAATATCATCATCGGGAACCATATTACAGATTTGTTCACAACCACCGTTGTTAACATCACAGCTGTTAGATGTTGGTGTTGGCTTTTCAATTTCATTTGGTATAACATTGATTGTTTCCTCTTTAGTTTGTGGAATGATTTCATTGGTGATAATTTGCTCATCAACATTGCTATTGTCATTAGTTGATGCAACTGAAATCGGTTCATTTGGCGTCACATTTTTCTCGACCGTTTCGGTGTTGATGTTTTCATTATTTTGTTGCACGGAATTTGTGGCCGTATTTTCTGTGTCGGTTTTAATGGAATCGCTATTTTCATTTTGATTGTCGTCATCTGAATCGGTGCCATAATCCACTGGGATTAGAAATGAATAAATGTGGCGTGAATGGAAGACATATACAAAAAAAAAGCGAATACAGAGCAATGCGTATAAAATTTTCAGAATTTCCTGATTACAAATCAAAAAAAATTGAAATAAAGAAAAAAAAACATTTCGAATGCCTTTTTCATAGCATTTTTATCACGCCATCGAAACAACTATGACACAAAACATGTTTCGGCACATTTTATGACTAAGTTTCACGATTGTTTTTTCGGCTAGCAAATACTCTTAAAATCACATAGAAAAAGTATATTTTACTTACCATCGCCTTCTTTCATCACACAAACGGGATAATTTCCAACCCAGATACCTTGACTGCAATACAATCGATTTGATTGTGGATTTTCCAAATAATAGTCTTCATCACAACCATAAATTGCAACCAAGAATTTATACTCGTCTTTCTTTGCTCTGCAACAAAAAAAAATTTTGTGATGAAAATGCACAAAAATGAATTTCACATTTATTTGCTGTGTAAAAAAGTCACAAATCGGACTAACATACCGGATGTATTCAACGATATGAGCATCTGAAACTGATGGTGCGGTTACTCCGTCAATGCAAGACATATCCAAACGGCTTGCGAAATCAGCATCAATGGTGTTATCTTCTTGAAATTCTGGCTTTTTTCCTTTTCGATGGCCCTTTCGTTTTTTCAATGCATTTGTTGGTGCTTCCGTTTGCGGTGCTGATTCATGTTCAGATGTTTCGACATGTTCGACATGTTGTTCTGAATCTAAAGCGGGCGCTTGACTTGGTGGTGCTTCAATTTCATTGGTGTTTGGTCCCTTTGTAGTTGGTTGTTCAACGGGTTCAATGAACTCTTCATGTGTTAATCCTGGTGCAACTGTACCAATCACTCCAATCATACCTTGTTCAATTTCGGACACCGTTGAATTGCTGCCCGTCTCTGATGGATGTACCGAAATTCAAAACCATATGAAAAGGAAAATAAATTTGTTCGCAGTCTCAGCTAGCGCACAGTCAATTAAATGATTTAATTTATGATATTTACCCAATTGACAGGCAGGTAAATCACCAAGCCATTCATCTGTATCTGTGTCACAGGTCAACTGTGATTCACCGTGTAATCGATAGCCAGCATCACATTTATAAAGTGCTGTAACAATGGTGCCATCATAATCGACTGATAAATCAGATTTACCATGCAATACAGGCGGTGGACGCTCGCAATCAGTATATACACCATTCACAGTATATACTAAATTTCCATTTTGAATCCAAAAAAAAAAGAAGAAAATAATATGAAAAGAAAAAGAAATCATTTCAACAATTTCAGACCGAATTGATGAGTTAACAATGGCATCAAAAATCATTTTATCTCGAAAAACATGCAATTAAGCCCATCGTTGTGCGCTCAACATGGTCATCGTGATCGAAATTCAATGATTATGTAGGCTAAAATTAGTGACGAGAGACGATTGAAAATGTGAGAAGAATGTGTGTGTGTGTGTGTAAAGTGTGAAACGATCGGTCGCAGAATCGAAAAGAACACCCAAATATGAATAAATTACCAAAATGTTGAAGTGATCCCGATAATGCGCTATTTAAAATGCATCAATTGATCGATAGCATAAGTGCTTTGGAACAAAGTGTGAAATTTCGAACGAACAACAGATTAGTGTTGCGGTTTTTCTATATGCCATTTCAACCGTGGAATTTCGATCAAATTTCAATTCCCGATTTGCATCATGAATATATGATGTTATCATGATTTACAGCTGTATGAGAGTGCACAAATCCGGATATTTATTTATTTTTTATTTATTTATTTTTTTGTGGTAAAATCATTATGCTTTTACGATGTAGGCAATAATCGAACAAATAGCAGGTTCTGTTTTTTTCTTCTTCTTTTTCTGACCCACACACTGAACGTCATTGACATTCCAAAACAAATGCAGCATTTTGGTAACACTGAATAAGCCAAATCGATGTTCAGAAAGTGCGGACCAAATTCAATGTAGTGCATATCACACGTCGTCGATTAAGTTGCAGCAAGCAAAACTTTGTCAAACACACCTTGAATTTATGTTTTCCCAATAGCCGAATGAGAATGAAAACTAATATCAATAAATACCACCCACACAATAACAATAAATTAGAAACGGAGCAAAACAACGATGAAAAAGAGATTGAATAACACCCAGAGTGGAAAGAAAAAGTGCTTCAAATTGAAGAGCACATTATCAAAGCGAATGATATATTTTAATTTATTATTATCAAACATTTGCATCTTTCACTCATATTCGATTTTCAATGCACACCGAACAACACACCATTCAATGCATTGCACACCAACCGAATCATACGTTTACCGTTAGAATTTTGTTTATTTGTATAATTTTTATTTGTTCAATAACAAAATAAAATTGGAAAAAAGAACCAAGAAGCGCACACTTTAACCTACTTCCGAGTTAAAAAGAAATTCTAAATATTATATTATGCTTACACAAACAAATCAATAATTCATTTTTTATTCACACAAAATGTACGTATATTCAGATTCTTCTCTATTTCAAATCCGAATTTTCGCTTAGCTGTATGTATTTTTATAAAATTAGCAAAAAGAAAATAGACACGAACCAAAAAATCACTTTATACGAAAGCAAAAAAAAATGATTTTTCCTTAGAATTTTCTCGCCTACAACGGATTAATTTAATATTAAATACATTGAGATGACTAATATTACATCATAAAGTGTGCACACTTTCTACCTTGTTTTTCTTAAACAAATCGAATGTTAAGGTTCATTAACCACATTTTCAATAATTTCGGTCTTTTTGCATTGGTTTTTTTTATGAGATGTTTAAATTGAAAATAATCAATTGAATTTAAATGCGGACAACTTACCTGTGCAACTCCAATAACATACGAAAATCCAAACCAAAAACGTATTTCGGTTCATGGTTCACTTTCCCTTTTATCCCTTCAAATAATATATCCTTTTTTATATTTTCTTCGATCCTTTTAACACTTGCACGAAAAGTTTTATTGTCAGCATTAAAATTCAATTGTTAACAAAATATATCAAAATTCACATATCAAGATTTGGGTGACGACAGTTTTCCGCTGAAAGGAAAAAAAAAACGTGCAAACGCTTTAACACGAGCGGGCAAACGGTATTTGTACTATTCCACCTCGCGTCTATATGTAGACTGAGAATGTTCGTTAGAAATAATGTCTCACACGGAAAATCAAAGTTCGAGCCCGCCTTCGACAACTTTATAATCGCCAAAGATGCTTATTTCGGATATCGAGATCAACTATGCTAGCGTAAGCGAACGGCGCCCGTTTTTCAACCATCACCGTGTCATAGCATAACAGCATATCAAGTTGTCGCCGATTTGATTATTTACTCATTTAAACATTTGATCTAGGTGGAACAGAGTCAATCGCTTGCATATGAACTAACTAATTATTTTTATAAAATGTGTCTCCGATTTTTGTTTAATAAAGTAACAAAAAAAAACCGAATTCAAAAATTAATTTCATTGTCGCATATCAAATGACTACATTGTTTTCATAGTTTTTTAAAAATAAGTTTATTACTTATTATGTAAGAGTCTTGGATATTTTATCAATTCTCATCAACATTAAAAATAAAAAATAAAATCGACCCACAAATAGTGCGAATCGGCGAAAAATATTTTCAAATAACATATCGCTATACATTGAATGCATCCATTGTCGGTCATTGGACGAATTCATTTGCTGAAAGTATAAAAGATGGTCACGATAGTCACGCCACCATACATTTACGCGCCATACACAGATGAACTACACCTAATGAGCATAACAAAGCCAAACAACATTGCTGTGTTCGGTCAATGTTTTGCTCTCTGTACACACATGCTCCCAATACAGATTCATTCATGGCAACAATGTGAGTTTCTTCAATAACAACGCATTTAACTGCGGCCATTTAAATTACATACAAACATATACGCAAACACAAAGACACGCCAAATACCATACCCGCATGAGTGTATTGGTTAGTGAATGTATACGGGACAGCTAAATATTCATTGTGTGATTGGAATTTCTAGAATACGACACATCAAACACGTCTACCATAAGCTAAAGTCACATATAGCGAAGAGCAAAGTGAAGTGAAGGAAAAATTAAAATAAATAAAAAATAAAACAAAAGCAAAATTGAAAAGCAGAAGTTGACACAAAAAAAAACGAACCAAGAACTACAACAAATATTCTGAATTCGTTTTTCTTTTTTAATTTTATTTTCGTTCGTTTGTTTTATGGTGATTATTATATATGCAAAGTTAATGTGCAGTGTTTGTGAGCGTTTACAAATCAAGAAAATAAAAAAAGAAAAGAAAACAAATTTGATCAAATGTGAGGTGTGGATTAGATAAACAGACTTTCGAGGCTATGACAAACGCCAAGGAAGGGGAAAAAAAAACAGATTCGAAAAAAAAGAAGCCAACCACAGCACGCAATTCAGTTTAATTGAAATTATTTGTTACGAGAGAATTTAATTATGAATTCAGCAAAAACAATGGTGAATGTTAGTCCAAAAATGTCAAATCGCGAAGCGATTGAACGTGAACTGGAAAAATTTGTGAAAATGTTTAGTACAAAAGCCGTTCAGGCAATTGTTCAGTCACGCCTTGGCGATAAAATGCAAACGTACAGCAATGCACGATCGCTATCAAATGATTGGGTAAGTGAACCTTTCAAATCATACAGTTTGTACTGGCATCTGCACTTTCATTTCCAGACAAACAAAAGAAGAGCAGAAAAATAAATAAATAAATAATGCACTTTTGAATAACTTTCATTTTGATTGGCATAAATCATTAAGAAAAATAAAATAAAACAACAACAAATGGACATGGAAAACCATCAATTAAAAAAATAGCAAACATACACAATAAAGAACACATTCTATTTGCAATAATATGTGGGCTCATTAAATGCGACGCATCTGTTATTAGAATAGGACGCAATCTGTGAAGAAGGCAGGGCTCAGCCCAATAATGCAGGCCGACAGCTTGAATAAATGCAGATTGAAAGAATGTGCATGTCAATAATTTACTACATGAAACTATATTAGACAGTGGATTTAGAAAAGAATGATTTACTTTGACTAAATCCTATCGACATATTTGCATGCTAGTTATATAAATTGTCAATCAATTTAAGGTGACCGATATTAAAGCGACGAATTTTATTGATTTTAATAGTAAATATATATGGTTTTTTTTAAGTTTCTTTTTGGGTTGTACCTTGTCGTAGGCAATGATTCACAGTGGCGACTTGTTTCTAACAAAAAATTTCAACAGCAACAACAACGACAACAACAACAACAATAAAAAACCCATAGAAATCACGTAACAAGAAAAAGTCATAAATTTTTTGGAATTTAAGCGCAGCGCACTTGAAAAATGGCCATTTCATTTGAATCTCAATAACAATATTATACAAATTGATAATCGAATCGATAGAGATATTAAAAAAAAAATGTGTTACTTTGGACCGGGACAACATTTCGTTTAATATTTATGCGCACAAAATTTTTGTGTGATGAAAGTGAGAGAGTACGACGATAAGCATATAGAAAATGAAATTCAGAGAAAGAAAAATGCAAACAGGGAGTGAGAGGGACCAATGAGTGACCAATGAGTGACCAAAAATGTGCATACAATATATGATGTGTTTGATCGATAATGATAATCATAATTAAAACTGACTCGGTATTAGCGTTAATAATGAATTTGTATTTGACGCGAATGAATTTGTGTACATGTGTGTATCTATGAATTATGTACAATTCAAATATTGGATAATATATCATCTCGATGTATGCATTTTGCGAATTTTATTTTTCACATCATCCTCTTCATCTCTGTTTTGTTATCCAATGAAAATAAATTTTGCTTCTGGTGTGGCATGTTGTTTACGTGGGAATGCGTACGTGCACGTAATCAAGTTGAGTCGCTCACACATACACACACAAACACATAGGCATACAGGCACACGGGATAAATATGCATATGCGGTTGTTGCCGCATCGTGTTCTCTCGCACTGGTACACATGATCTAACTCGTAAACATGATAGTGGCATTTATTAGGCGGGAACAGACAAATTGCAGAACTACATACACAGTGACGATGATGACGACAATAACGGCGATGACGGTGACAGCGACGACGACTTCCACTTATAGCCGTACAAACAATATCATAAACACACAACTGATTCAGTTCTGTAGAGCACTCGGGTTGTGCGGCAAGAACGAAGTGGATGCTCCTTTGCATTGCATTTAAAACGAAGCATAAAAGATATGCAAGGAGAAGAGAATTGAAATAATAAGAAAAGTGAAGAATTTATAGGAAATAATCTGTAATTGAATTCAGTTCTTGCAAATAATTGCAAAATCAAAGAAGGAAAACATCAATTGGTGAGATGATATATTCTTTATATATTTGATGCGATTGTGAATTTGTTATTTTTCTGCTTCCCATTCAGAACGGATCCAAGAAATTTCAATTGAATTGCATTCATACGATGCATTAAGTACATGTTGGTTTTCAGTTTTGATTCGTTGTGTATGTATATGTTTTTATCGAAATCAGAGAGTCATGATGATATTAAACATTATCATTCATTCAAACGTTAAGCACAGTATTATTCAATGAAATCTAATCAAAAACTAAAAAATAAACGCAAATTTTTGATAAGATAAGTTTTCACAGAAAACATCTTCTTCTTCTTCTTTTTTTTACCTGAGTGACTTATAGTTCAATAATCCATTTGAAGTGTGAAATCAACCTATTTTAATTAGCAATTATCAGAGATACCTCGATTTGCAATTGGTATTTAATTACGAAATCACGTATGATGTAAATAAAGGTACGATAGCTCGAGATGTATATATTTAAAAAAAAAAAACACACACACGTACATTCAAAAAGGCTTCTTCAAATCTAATAAGATATAAGGAGACTAATGAAGCACTTTAGATTTGCCTATTTTCTCGTCAATTTACGTGCTTGAGATTCGAGTGATATAAACAAAATGTGATAAGACACGGAAAAAAGTGTTTTTGCTATATCAACATGACGCGCCTAAAAAACATGTTTACAATTAAAAAGAAAAAGATATAAAAGTGAGCAATTCAATAGTGAAAAATGAGTGAGCATCAATCCATCTTTATAAGCATATTCAATTAAATAATTGCAAATGGTATGAACCTAAATCGATAATCTGCAACGTGTTCGAAAGTTTCACTAAATTTTATGTGGTCTCTGTGGTGCTGTGCCCAATGCTCTCTAGCACTAATTTAACATTTTGATACGATGCAATGTTTGCCACTCGTGCTATTCTGGCAAATGTGATTTGTCGTGATTCATGATTTCCTTTTGTTGTCGTCTCGTACCAGTTACAGTACGTAGGCGTTGCAATAACCGTCTTCGAATGTATATGGACCTACACGGTTATCAACATAATGCGATTGCCTCATATGAAAATTGTGTGGAGCATTTGTTTTTTTTTTTTTTGTGTGTGATCGTTCATTTTATTATCGGTGAGTCAGCAGTTGAATTTACTGTTCGGCTTATGTGATTTGAATACGTCGTGCTCGTTTGATTTTTGTGTCGCACTTACGGGCGACAATCGACAAAAAGCGTATCAATAAGCGATCGACAATAACCACAATTGAAATGTATATGAATACCGATAAAAAAACAAATAACACATATCTTGAATAACGCTCACATAACAACAACAAAATCAATCTGGAAAAATTGCCAAACGAAAAGTCGACATAAGTTGTTCGATAGCGAGCAATCGACACTGACTGAGGTGAATGTGTGTGTGTGTGTGTGTGTACTGAGAATCAAAAATAGATATTTTATTTTTACTTGGACTTCGTCTACAAATATCGCTCACATAATCGTCATTGAAAAATTAGGAAAATAATATAATACAAAAAATAGTGATGAGTGTTTTTTTTTTCTCTCTCTCTCTCTCTCTCTCTCTCTCCCTCCTGTTTGATACGCTCCAAGGTTTCAGGCCATATATCACGTGATCACATGATTTTATTTGAAAGAATAAATTATTTCTCGTTGGCAAATTATGATTTTGTATATGCCTGCACACAATGTTTCAGCTGCGGGCGCATTCATTACTTTTTTTCCTTCGCACCGCCAATTGTACTACTCTTTTTTTATTCAAATTAATTTCAAAACAATCTTTTTTTCAAAACCATAATTCAATTAGTTTTGCATCTTGTCTTAATTGGATAAGAAATATCGGCTCATAATACAAAGGCAACAAGGTATTTGTGCGGCAAGCATTCTTTACATTCATTTGAAGCTACTTACCTTGACCTATAACGAGACAGAATCAATTTTCGCTTTATATCTCGCGATCTTTCTATCTCTCTATGTGTCTATTGCTATGTCAAGAAGAAAAAAAAAACGGCGATCGATACTAGAAGAAGACGAAGAAAAATACAAATTGTTAATTGAAATATAAAAAAAGCATCAAACGATTGAAAATCGAATGAGCGATAAGCTGGTTATGATTCGTTTTTGGTATGCACTAACACGCCCGAATCATCTGTTTCAAGTCGATTCGTATTTGTTTCACTGTCATCATTGTTTGTAGTCGTGATTAGTGTTTGCATTCAGTTAAATCAAATGAAAAATGTACAAACAAAACTATTCTCCGAATGCAAAATTCTACGAAATATACATGCAAACGAGAGAATATCCCATTTTAAAAAACCGGTTTGAAGCGCTCGTTCACTAACTCGCTCCATCGTTAACTAGCCCGCGCTCATAATCACTATTGCCATTTCCTTGTTGTTCGGCAATGATGACGTCGAACAATTTCTTAAAAACACACAACTTCATCTACTGTGTTTGTTGTCATTATTTCAAAAAATGACCAACAGTCATCACTATTTATATATTATGGAATGTGTGTGTGTGTGTTTGTCACGCAACTCGTGCACTTTTTTTTGTTTTATCGCATATGCAACGCAACCAAAACAAACGGTGAATATAATAAACAAATTCAAGTGTTATGAATGTATTGTCTACGCTCATTTTTGGGCATGAATGAAATGAAAGTATGACTCTGATTAAATCATTGATTCGGGTTCGAAATATGAGGCTATTCAGTTATATTCATCGCACAACTCCCACTCTGACCAAAATTGGTTGTCGTGATTCATATCATTTAGAGTAAAAAAAGCGATTGAATTTAATCGAATGAATTGATCTTGTTAGGGCCGGCATGCGATGCAATTACGTATTGTTTGTTTGTGTATATTTTCATTTATTTCGTTATAAAAATGAAGGCGGAAAAAAAATATAAGGCTGTCATAATTGTTGCAATGCATTCAATTCAAATGTTTCAAATGTCAAGTACATTCGATATTATTTAAAATTATCGTGGCTTTTATTCAAAACGAATACACATTTTGTTGTTGTTGTTGTCTCACTTGCTGTTTATTTGGCGCCATATAGAAATAACATATTCGTGTTGCATGCACTTTGCGCAAGCGCTCATCTAAGACCGGGACAATTTAGACAGACGGACAGAAGCATACTTATATTATATATATTTTTTTTTAATTAAACGTGCGCATCAATTAGAAAAATCCCCAGTCGGAAAGCGACAAGCCTGTACGCCGCTAAACGATATGTACATGAAATAAGATAAAACTAGGAATTCCCCCCGAAGATATTTCTTTTTTATTTCACGCTGAAACTAAAAGAAACTACGTTTCGACATTCGAAATATATATATTTGCACAATTGCCGAATATCAATACACAGTGTTTAGTGTAATTGACGTAACAACGATACATTCGTCTTCTCATTTTCAAAAACAAAATACTTTTATACGCACAAACATTTTGACATGTATGTTTTTCATCCATTTGTACTATAATAATATTTCCTCATCGCGTAATGATGAGTATTTTGTTTTATTTTGATGTGTGTGTTTTTTTAACATCTTCAGTTCCCATTTATTCAACCGCTATCTCAATTTTGTCTAAATATATACGCTCACAAAGCTTTCGAAACGGTTGATTTTTGCGATGAAAAACCAACCAATAGTTCATTCAATTTGGTTTGGTATCACTCACCATTTTTTGGTGGCTTGAACTCAACGAACTTATCTGAAATCAAATACATACGTTTAATATTGCATATATGTTCAATAACAGAAGCGAGAAAATAATATTCAATTTTATCAAGTGAGATTGGTGATCGTTTTTGTCCACAGCTAGGTTTGAACTTCGAAGTAAAGTTAAATGAACGCACAAAGAGTGCAAGTGAAAAGAGGAGAGAGAAAAGAAACAAATCAGAACGTGCCTATAAAACAAATAAATTGTGAATTGAAAGAAAAAGTATATATTTTATAAATCAGAGACGTGTATTAAACCGGTATTTTTTCTCATTTTTTATTACTTTTATCAAAGAAAAAACCAAAACGATTTCGACTGACACGTGAAGCAATTGCAAAGACAAAAAAAAATCTCTCAACTTATCAAGTGTGAACATTTTTCCTCATTGAGCAAATAAAAACCACACCACAATATCATCAGCGGTGAAGTGCAATAATTGTTATTTATTCAGAGTTGCCGTGTGTGTCTCTGTGCGCAATGCATTATCATTTATTTGCAAATAAAAGAAAATTGTTCAGATTCGTAGTGCGTTTAAAATGCATTCCAGTTATTTATGCCGGCCCCAGCAATCTTTGTAGGCATCATTATTTAGTTCAACATTACGATTTGTTGTCGTTTGCACATTTTCGTTTTTGATATATGCGCCTTATTTATTCACACTCAATCCAATCGATTCGGGTAGCATATTTAATGGAAATTTTTACACGTACATTCAAATTCAACTGACATTTGATCTTCGTTGCAATGCGAAAACAATCATATTTTTAGTGCTTAATTAATTCATATGATACTATTTCAAATTCCATCAATATATGTATAGTAAAAAAAAAAATACTAAAGTTGATCATTTCACTTTATTCGGGCTTCTCGTTTCATATTTCAATGTCAACGGTTCGAAATATATAATCAAAATGTCATTCTTCGCTCAAAGTCTCCGACTTAAGCAAAGACATTTGAAGCGAATGTCAAGTACGTTCACCGTTTAAACTGGCGTGCGACTTTGTATGGATTTTCCCTTGTTTTGCATATGTGCATGTGTGATCAGTGATCACCGTTCCATTTTAAATCGAGCGATAGAATAATTTTTTTATTATTATTTCTTGCGTAAATGTGCATGGATTTATTCGAAATTGTATGACAACAGTAAACCGTGACGTGTGCAAGAACAAACGTTGAAAAAAAAAATGTCATTGAATCAAGGTTTAACTGCTAGATGCTCAAAAAATGCTTACGATCGCTGTATATCAACGGTGATGAGGTCAGCGGAGTGTGGAAAAGAGAGAGAGAGAGAGAGATAAAGAAAGAACAACATCATAATATGAACACGAAATTGTTTTTCTTGAATAAACTAAATTTGGATTCGCAACTTCTTAGATGATTTGATAACTTCTTATCGACCCGATTTGCTGTTACAGCTGATTTGATTGCCACACATTTTTCTCTATTTTTACATTTCGTTTGTGTATTACTTTATCAATTCAATTATAAACGTCAACCAAACTCAAGTCAACTCCAACATCTTTATTTACTTTGATTGCAATCCAACTGTTTCTCTTTTAAAGCATTAATAAATCATTTCGTTATCGGGTGTTATATTTTAAAAAGGAAAAATAAAACAGTTTAGCTCTTTTCATACAAGCACACTTTTAAACTTTGATTGATTTCAATCGTGTTTTATTGTTAGCAACAATTTCTTTCAACGTCCAATACCGTACGATAAAAGGTTCAATCAAAGTCTAAATCCATCAAAAAGGTTAGATCAATAACAGAACACCGGTAATTGGCGGTATTTCTGGCAGGGAAAGAAACAAAATCTGTATTGGCCTTGAAATGGCACCTGTTGTTTCTTAATTGAACGCTGTTGTTTTCGGTTTCATTAAATGGGCTCAATAATTTTGAACTGACATTGTTCATTGGAAAATGTTCATTTTTCGTATAGTGTTGACAAGTCTTGCACACCTGACTGAATCAAAGCAGTTCAGTTGTATCGTTTAATTCCACTTATCCATCTGTTGTTGTGTTATTCATATAAATATATAATTGATTATGACATTATTCACAACACCATATTAATTCAATGCTTTTCTTTTTAATTTAACGTTTATTTTTCTTTCGTTTCTTTCAAACAGTTTAATGTTACTATTGATGATGAGCCAGATAGTTTAAATCAAACCAAACGCGTAATTGAAACAAAATCAGGCGAATCGGTGCTCAATCGTTTGCCATTGTGCGTGGAAATCTCATTGAAAACAGCCGACAATGATACTATGATATTGGAAGTATGGTCATTATCATGCAATAGACAATTATTGGATAAAACATCCCGACTATCATATTCCATTTATAATCGTATGGGAACATTGCTCAAGTCATTGGTGCAAGTAACACGATCAACGCCCGCATACAAATTGTCACGCAAAAAGAGTATGGGATGTTTTGACATCTTTTATCGAATTTATTCTGGAAATCCACAAGTTGATAATTTAGGTAAGTGTTTTCATGGTTATTTCCAATCAACCAAATCAATGTGTATGTTAAACATTTAATTGAAAAATAATGACACATTGACATGATTCAAATTGTTATGCGGTTAATTTTAAAAGACTAGAGTTTTGATTTCATTTGATTGAATTGTTTTTGAATAATAATTGATTTATTTAAACGATTTTTGTGCTTGTGTCAAATTCATTTCTTAAGGTGAAGGATTTAAAGAGCATATTATCGGTGATTTAAGTACGAGCGTTGGACAATTCAAAATGGCCGTTGCCTACAGAACTAAAATGACCATTTCACCAACACATACCGGTCGTGATACAACATTAATGCTGAAAAGTGATCATTTTAACGATATCAGCCCGAAGGCACAAATTCGATATAATGTTAAGAAACCGTAAGTATTTTTCAAGCTTTATTTTGTTCAATTTTCATTTAACGCCATTTTTTTTGCTTTCAATTTGTACGCGTACAGAGAGAAAAAAGTAATTGACCTCGAAAAACCGCTACTAAGTGGTGCTTTTGTTGATCCATCAAAATTGACACAATACACCGAAAAAGATTACATATTACCAGAAATTCCACCATTTAGCTGGTTGATTAAACAACCAAAGGTAAGTTCAGCGTACATAGTCTTTTTTTCTCAATCAATTCGGATGAAAAATTTACATTTTTTTCTCTTTCTCTCTCTCTCTCTCTCTATTTTGTAAAATATTCAATTAGAAGGAGACCAAAAATGATGAAGTCAATGAAAATGAAAAGGGCAAGGTAAACAACGGCAACGTCGATAGTTCCGGTTCACCAGATTCAAAAAAAACACTGCTAAATAATAATAATAATAATAATAACAATAATAATATCAACAATAATAAAAATCTCAATAATAACAATGAGAATGATAACGAACTGAAAAATGGTTTGACCACGAAAAATGACATTTTAACGAAAAACGATCGATTTCGATTTGGCTCATCAAAAACACTATCGCGGGATGATGATCGAATTCTTAAAGAAATGGTAAGCAATTAAGTGGAACTTCTATTGGCAATTCAATTGTTAATTTTTCTGTTTTTTTTTTTCTTCTTTGCACTTCTGTTTTCAGAGTTTTCCATTTGCGACCGCAACACCAATGAAGGATTTAGCCAAATTTTATCGTGATTGTTTCAATGCACCGCCATTGCATGCGTTTAGTGAACCATTGCCACCGCTTGTGCTAAATGGTGATGCCGTAAATATGGCAGCCGCTGAAGAAATTATCGAGACTGAAGCAAATGATCAAGCCGCCGATGCTGTAACAAAATTATTGGAACAATTTGAAACATCATTGCCCGACTACGAAACCCTCGTTACATCACTTTGTACACAACCGATTGATAAAAATTCCAACAGTTGAAAGATTTATCAAAATGATGTACATAGAAATATGATTAATTTTTCCAAATCGAATTTTAACTGAAGACGCAAATTAAATACGCATTAACTGACGCTCAAAATAGTAGGAATACAAAAATCCACTTAACAAACCGGAACGAAATATAAATTGCAAACCAAATGAAAAACAGTAATAATAACAATAAAAAAAATCCCGTTTATCCGAATCGAATTGCAAATTCAAAAAAGTGATTTTGTTCGAAAAATCACTTAAATCAAATTCTCGTCAACATTTTTGATAGCAATTCTATTTAATTGATATCCATATGAAAATTTAGAATTTTCACTAATTGTAGGGAACATTTCGTATGGGAATGGAAAAATGAATTAATGTAACGTTGGCAGTGCCGATTATAATTCAAAGACTTGAATCATTTAACAAAGAATGAAATGTCTTGTCTGCCAAAGATTAGTGAGCTGTGTGCAGCATTTTTGTTTAGAAAAGATTTGTGTTAATTGACGTTATTATCATACGAACACGATCGATTCGATGATCGTGTGATGGTGATGAAATGCCAACCGATGTAATGTCTATCCTTGTGAAAATGTCTGTATAATCTCATTTTTGAATTACCTCACTTACATTCGTATGTGGTGAATACGGTTTAAGAATGGAGGAAAACAAAAAGTGCACAAACGATGCGCGAACAATTACAAGACGGCGTTAGACGTTTAGAACCTTTTTTTTTTGGGCACTGTTATATTTTATTGCGCACTTAGTACGTGCAAAAAAAAACGGAAATTTATTAGAAGGTCTTTTGTTATTTAATTAGACGAAAATCAGGCATTAAAAATGTAATAATGCTCAGAAAATGATTATTGTACCGAAATGTGAAACGATAAATCCAAAAAGATATCTTATGATTGATATTATATACAATTTTTTTTAAAAATGTAACACATTATAAATCAAGACGGTTTTGTGAAATCAGTAAAAACGTGCTAAAATTGCTTTTCTAATTTCTAAGATTCAATATATTTTGAACATTTTGAAATGTTTTGTTTGTACAATTGATAAAAAAAATGAAACGAATCATGTTTATCGTTAATGTTATATTTTGGATGCCATTAAATATACATTTATTTTGTTGAACAAAAATCATTTGGATTAATTAAAATCAAGCTTAAGTAAATGGAAAAACAGACATTCCTATTTGAATGGATAAAATGTAATTTTTAATATAACAACAACAACAACTGGTCGACGCGTTCGCTCCAATTGAATTTAAAAATAATTTTATGAAAATAATGATCAAAAAAATAGTAATGTCTGTTTGGAAGGCAGAAAAAATGCTAAACCATTTGAAATGAAAATCGGAAAATATTTATTTTGCATAAATTCATTAGTAAAGACATATCTACTGACACATTCACATCAAACTATTTATTTTTTTTTCTTCTTCGCATTACATAATCGAATTTTCATTCAACGAATAGTGAAGGGCAATGTGACAATTTCGTAAAATTATTTAAACCATATTCTTCTTGACATTCTTATAAAAAATAAAACGTCTTTTGTTATAAACAAAACCTATTACGGCCTAATTTAACTTTCATTTGAGCATATTAATGAAATAAATATGAAAAATAATTTTGTGGGTGTTACATTGCATTTCCGTTATTATTGGCTGGCCTCAATTCATAATTTTAAATCGTTTTTTTTTTAAACAATCGAGTTAACGTTAAGTTATATTTTTTTAACCGAAAAAGAATTTCATTGCGCATGAACTGAATTTAAAATGAAATGAAATTTTTTTCATAACAAACACAAAAACATTCGAAAGAAAAAGAGAGAAAAACAAGTGATGATGAAAACTTATGCATATATATATAAATATGAAATTACGAAACTTCACTTGAATTCCAAGTTTTTTGAAAACAAAAAGAAACAAACAAAAATAGATTTTATATAAATTGTTTTAATTTTCTCAAACGAAATACGTTTAAAATCTACATCGTGTTGATATTTATTTTAAAAAAAATTCTTTATTTTGTGCCTTAATAATTATTCAAATGCACCTACAGAACTATATTCGAAATGTTTTTCAAATGTTTTCTTTCCTTTTTTTCTTCCTTTTTCTTTCGTTCTACATTTAGTTTATGTCAATAATTTATTTGAAAACGAAAAAAAAAATCATAGTGAATAATTAAATTTAACCAAAAAATTTTTTTTTTTTTGTTTAATTTTGTTTTATAAAATGAGACTGGATTGGCGGCTGTTCCGGAAATAAAAAAATCGTAAAAAAATAATTAGTGAAATTTTTCCCACTATGGCAATTTGTAAAACAATTATAGAACAAAAAAAAAATGGAATTATTTTTCGGTAAAAATAACGATGTTTTGTTTTTTAACCCTTTTTTTCTAGATAAGAAATGGTAGATAATTTCTATTACAGTGTTAAGTCTACATTTAGATTCATATGAGACCGATTTCTTTTTTTAAACGATGTTTATCAATATTTTTCATGAAAATGACAAAAATTATATTAATAAAAATGTCGTAAAAATAACATTAAATATATAACAATTTTGGTTTTATTTCTGCTCTTGCCCCTTGAATTATATGAGTGTGTCATAAAAAACAAAACACACACACCCACACAATCATTGTGTCTCTTATGACGACATTATTTTAGATCATTTCAAATGAATGTGATCAATATGCTGAAATTCCAATTGGATTACTCACTTTCTTTCCATAAAATGATTGGCGCTTAACTTGACCATTAAGGTCGATGTACGATGTACGACCACAGATTCCATGTAATGAATTTCGCTCAAAAAGTCCATTGCAAGGCCAATTTCAATTCAATTGAGATGCATGAGATAAAAACTAAAACAAACCGAAAACAAAATATTTTCCATAATAAATCCATTATGATATGTATAATATTTGGTAACCATGATCCACATTAATTATTCAACAAAGTATAAACCTCTTATCGTTCAATCATTGATCTCTCATCGCCCGAAATTTAGTTTAATTGTGAACTTCAATAAAATAAATATATATAAATGCAAGCGCTTTACATACATCTTTTACGATATATTTCCGATAATAATATTATTATTACTATTATTCATGACACGAGAATGTCATTATAATTATTAATTTTTTTGTTGTTGTTTTATGTGTTTTGTTTTTAGATTCACTCGAATCCAATCACAATTTCACCATAATTTGACATGAAAAATGGATGAAAAAGATTAGCTAGTTCATGTTAAACAATTTTGTGTAATTTTTTTTTATTGAATTATTACATTTGTTGAATTCATTGCATGAAGTCAGATAGTTTTTGTTTCCAATTATCATCACACCATTATTGTTATTCAGTTGATTGTGGCGATTCGTTGAGATGTCGCGTAAATATTACAAAGACGGAAACTGACGGAATTTGAAGAAAAATGTGTTACTTTAAGTGTAAAGGTCACTCAAAAATTGGCATTGCGGCTGTTTGTGGTTTTATTTCGGCTGTTTTGGGCGCATTTTTTGGATGGATTCTTTTTCCAACTCTTGTCACTTTAAACGTAGATAAAGTATGTTTGGATTTTTTGCTTTTCGAACATTTTTAACATTTTTCGAACAATTTAAAACATATACGTGATTTTGTCTGTTTGATAATGAAAAAGCAAACCCTATTGGAAGAAGGAACGGAAACATTTGAACGATTTGTTAATATACCGCAACCGTTATCATTCAAAGTATTTATTTTCAATGTGACCAATCCAAGTGAGGTGATCGATGGTGGCGTTCCAAACGTCAAAGAAGTTGGCCCGTACGTTTACCGGTACGAAATTCAGATGCAAACTTTACAAAGAAATTGACATGATTTTAATTTCAATATTTTTTTAACTCTTCAAACCAGACAATATCGACACAAAGAGAATCTGGAATTTACAGATGATAAACGGTATGTGATATTTCGTGGCATTCAAAAGTTTATATTCGATGATGAAGCCTCGGCTCCATTGAAAGAAAGCGATGATTTAGTTGTTCTCAATGTTCAATTAAACGTAAGTATCCAATATTAATGTGTGCGCTTCATTTAAAAGGTGAAAGGAATTTATTTTTAAATATTGATGGCATTTCAATTTTTGGATAAAAAAAAATTGAAATTGAAACATTCGAAACAAAAAAAAAAAATATGATGAAACAATCGAATATAATTGTGACGCACACAGTTCCAGTTTCTTTGTGTTTAGTATGTTTTTTGTTCTGGGGCATAATTTAGATATTGTTTTTTTTTTTTGTTTACTTTCATTGAATTGTTTACTCAAATTTGGCTATGGACAAGTGTGTCCTTCAAATCGCTGATTATGGAATTAGAAAAGGCATTGGAAGATTTATAAAAAGCATTGGAACAACATTTAATAAGACATTAGAAGGAATACCAATCATTAACACAGTAAAACATGTTTTTAAATCGAGAATTCGAATGCAAAGAAAGGTATCACAATGGCGTGAAATACGAACGTTTATTTCTGGATTTGTAAATACAATATTTGGCATGCATTTTCAAAATCAAAAGGTGATTGCAAACACTGTATATATTTGCATATCATCGTTTGCTCCACCCTCGTTTTTTTTTCCTTTTTGCATTTAAACTGAATGTCTTTTTATGACAAAATATCCATTTCAAATATCAGTGTAAATAGCAGAGTATTACTCAGCGCTGCTGCCATCCACAGCATATTAAAATATTTTGCTGAGAATGCGTCGTCCGTCGCATGCATTGTTCTCTATAGAATCGTTTGAATGTTTTGAGTCACATAATCGTGAAGAGAACAATGCATGCATTCTTGTTCGCTGTGATGTATAAACTGCTACGTACATTTGCATGTGACGGATGACGCATTCTCAGCAAGATGTTTTAATCAGTGATGGTTTTTTCCTATCTGAATAGCGCTAGCTATTCGCAGCGCCTGTACAGCATTGCTGCCCAGATGCTGAATCGTAGCGGTTGCCGCACGCGCAACACACTTCGTTTGTACCACACAGAGCATATACGTTCGCGTTCGTTCTCTGTTCGACATGCGTTTGTATGCTGACTATGGTATTAGTGTATCATACTCTGTGAGCTCACTGGTTACTTAGACTATATGACAATATGTTGTGTGGTACAAAACGCGTGCGGCAACCGCTTCGATTCAGCATCTGGGCAGCAATGCTGTTCAGACGCTGCGAATAGCTAGCGCTATTCAGATAGGAAAAAACCATCACTGGTTTTAATATGCTGTGGATGGTAGCAGCACTGAGTAATACTCTGGTAAATAGTGTGATTTGGTGTAAACACAAACAGTTCACGATGATTCGCACAATTCTGAGCAAGAGTTGAATAAATATTAAGAAATTCAGCAAGCGAGTTGTATAAACATGGGCGTTTTCTTCATATGTCTTTATAACTATTTACTGCACTTCATATCCATGAATTTTGAACATATTTTGAATATTTTCGCAAAATGTGAAGTCAGTTTTACAGGAAGCGCAAAAGCAACCAGGTCAACTTGGTTTTCTAAATGAACAATTAAAGGAGGTTTTTGGCAAACAATATGCATCTATATTCATGACTGTTAAACCATCGAACTTACTATTCAGCGGTGCGTATTTTTTTACAGCTTCATTCGAAATTTTCATTATAATAAAATTTTGATAGGTATACCACTCTGTGTTGATCCAAGTGGCATTGCTGAATTTATTTGCAAGGCAATTAAAATGCAAAGGCCACAAGCGATTAAAGAAATGAACGACGGCAGCCTAAGATTCTCGATGTTTGGACATGTAAGTACCATTCGCTAATTCGATTCAAATTTAAATCGGAGCAGTTAAATCGAATGCGTTTCGATGAAAACTCGCATAAAGTGTGAGTACTCATCTCATTCGATTTGGCAGCTTGAATATGCGACTGATCGCAAGCCTCGATTGTTAACATCACACATCTAGGCTCGAGCCAACAAGGCTACTAACTTATAAGAATCTTGTAGGTAATTAGAAAATTTTAAATAGCCAGGGAGCTCGACCTTAGTTTGACTGCCATAAACAGATGTTTTGTTTAGATAATTAAATTGAGATTTAGAGCAAAACATAAATGATGTGTGAAAAGCCGTCTTGTTGATAATATACTTGAGATTGAATGAATTTTGTTCGCCACTATGAATAGAAAAACAATACGGACGATGGTTTGTTCGAAATCCATACAGGCGTTGGTGATATCACCAAATTGGGATTAATTCGACAATGGAATAAACAAAAAATACTTAAAACCTGGCTAAATTCTAAAGATGGTAAAACATCAACGTGTAACATAATCAATGGGACTGATACGACGGTTTTCGCTCCGCACATAAAATCAAATGGATTTCTTTATATTTTCGCAGCCGATATTTGCCGGTACTATAGTGAAATCAACAAAATTATGAATTGCAAAACAATTTCTGAATGATTTTTCAATTGAATTTTACAGTTCGGTGCGGGTGCACTTCAAGAAGAAAGTCACCTTTGCCGGAATTAATGCATATCGTTTCGAGGTGAAGGAGGATTTTTTGGAACACATCGGTCCTGAATTTGGAAATGAATGCTTTTGTATTGATAAAATTCCAAATATACCATCACATCCGAATGGTTGCTTGTATAAAGGAGCAATGGACTTGACCACTTGCCAAGGTAAATTACATGGACTCGAATAGTTACGAAAATTGTGCATCGCATCTTAAGTGATTGAGCGCAATAACATTCATATTGTTTTTCAAGTCAAGTATTCAATTTGTTTGTTAATGTGTCTGCGCGTCTAAGTTCTAAGTTGTTGTGGAATTTAAGATTTTATCGAATGCAATTAGCACGTGCTAAAGCGCGATAAATGTTGATTGCTTTTAGCCAGGGGTTTTATACCGATTATACATTTTCAAGAATTCCACTTTATTTTGAAATGAAAAAGAACAAAAGCCAGACAACAGTCATAAATTGAATACGTTGAACTATTTTTTTTGTGTGTGTGTCGAATAGTTGTTGTTGTTTGGTACATCACAAATCAATAATAAATCATAGTATTCGCATTTGAAACAGCGGATTCATTGAAAGTGAAATTTAAAAATGTATATAAACAGTTTCGCATCGAAATTCCATTGAGACATAAAAAATGGTCTGTGAAGGTTGCCGATTGGGTTTGGTTTGTGGTGCTATTTTTCATTCAATTTGCCAAATATTTTGCCATTTTGTATTGATGATGTATTTGTTTTATGGTCTGGGCCAAATACTGTGATCGTTGTGATTTATTGCTTCTTTTATATACAGCTATCAATTCTAATCGATTTTTATTAGCCACATCAATTCTACTTGATTTTTTTTTTTCGTATTTCAATAGTCCGAATCCGATCGCTTTTGAAAAAATTAATTTCTTAATGTAATTTAAAACTTATTCGCATTGCGTTCGCATAAATCTAGAGGCCAAAGCAACAACAACATAAACAAAAATTAACATTCTAGTTTATTCTGTAGATGAAAATCAAACAACTCGAATAGTTTGGGTCGTGAATAAAATGATAATATGTTAAAAACCAAAACCCATGACCTTTACACTGTCATCAAAACTAAAATGATTTAAAAGCGGTTGATTAAAATAGAGATAGAGATAGACTTAATTTTCAATTCAAGATAGACGACATTCATCAGCATTCGTCAAAACACTATTTTAAATGGATGTGCGTGCCGCTTTTAAAGTTTATTCATTCAGAAACACGGATTCTGTTGCTACTTTTGAATAAAACAACAAAATCTATAAAGTTAATAAATAATCCGGATCAGAAGTTGATTCAAGACGTCAATACGAAAATTTACAAATTTTCGTGTGACATATGACTAGGTATAAAATACACAATATGATACTTCCTTGTTGCGACAAATATATGAATTTTTGTCTTTTTTAATTGGGATTGATCCATATTTTGGATATGTTCTCAAAATGAAATCTGGCATTCGAAATATACTAATCGTGTGAGAGGCCAAATTATTGTGGAATTTCTTTTTGTTGTAATAAAAATCTACATTGACGTTGCGTTCGAAATTTTATTTTGCGTGTGAAACTAATTTTAGGAGTGATCGATTAAAACCACAACATGCAAATGTCCCCATTAAACGCAACGACGACATTGACCACAAACTTAAAAACTTGTTTCCGTCAAATATCGATAAACTTCTTCAGAATGTTATCGTAAGACTTATTATATAGGATACCTTTTATCCTGCCAAAAGTCGACTATCAATTCAGGCAAATTGTATTATACCCGTGTGATGAGCTCGACACCTGAATAATACTTAAATTTATCACGTTTCCGAATACAAATTTTGAATGATTGTCGAATTAATTTAAACAAAAATTTAAATTTAATGCGATAATGTCAACTGATGTCATACCCTATCATCTTTTTAAAGTAGTAAAATATTTTCCATTTGTTGTTTTTTTTTTTTTTTTTTTTTTTCGAGAAAAACCAATTCATTTTATTGAGTTTAGTACAAAAAAAGAGAAAAAAAAATGTGGTCATAAAATGTCGTCTATTGCTGCCATTCAAATGTAGAAACCTAGTTTCTCTTCAATAGATGCATTTAAGGTCAAAGAATAAACGATTTGTTTCCGACAAAAGATGCATAGAAATTGTCGACCCTCACATATTGTTGTATTACTACATTGTATTAGAATAAATCTTAATAGTAAATATTTCAATCCCATGAGACATTCTCAGAGTACATATTGAGTTTGAGTTGGACTTCCGGACCAAATGATCTCCGAGTGTCCAAAAATGTAAGACCAACATATACGTATATATCTGCATATGGAACACAAATCTTATTCAAATGATAATAACCATAAATCCGTCAAATTGAACAAAATTAAAAATATTTCCTGACTCGTTTAAATTTAACCCGCTTCGATATTAATGGATTCTAACAACATCATTTCTCAATGCTTCTTTGTTGTATTATCATCGTTTCATTCAAATACAAATTGATAAAAAGAAAAATTGTTGTATAGCCAGTTTTAAAGTGCAAACATGCTCATGTTAGTTCATTCGAATTTGAATTTAATTACGCAAATCTTCATTCAATTTATAAAATAGATTATTTATGACCTTTTTGATGCATAAATTCCAGTTGAGTGGCAAAGAAATTTAAGAGAAAATATTACTTGATTATAAAGCATTTTGAAAAATTAGCCGATAATAGGAATGTGTTTGGATTATGTTTTGGTTGGGAAATTGTATGATCATGCGCTTACCTGAAGCTCTCATGGAGAGAGAGCGAAAGAGAGATAGAAAAAAAAATCAATAAAATCCAGATTAATTTGAATAAAACAAGGGTATAATAAATGAATGCATAGATTATCCCCCCAAAAAGAATAAACAAAGACACATTACGATTTTGATGGGAATCCATAAAAATGCGATAATTAAGTTGAAATGGTAAATTTGGCATTTCAAGCACAACAGGTGAATTTGATCTTTTGAAAAATTAATACACCTCAATCGCAAACAAGTCTAATTAAATTGTGTTGGCGATCTGATGGTATGTGCATGTCATTTCTGGCAATATTCGACAATTGGAAATGATATCCATTCTCATTACTCCAGGTCGAGAATTAGAATTTTATTTGACACATTTTTTTCTAGTGGGGCAGTGTGACGATGGCAAGCATAAACAGCGTGCTCAACGCATTTTGTTTTGATTAAGTGCTTTTTATTTTTGTTTCTTCTTCATTTGTGCCGTACAGATTATGAGCGTATTGACGGAAACTTCGTCAAATACGAGTCGCATTCGTGCGAAAGAGAGTGAGAGTTATGTTTGATAGCGTGTGTGCAATTCAAACAGAACGACGGGCGATTATCTAAATTCCAGTTTAATTTGCATACACTTGTCGATGTATATTTTAACGTCTTTGTCATCATTTTATTGTGGACGAGCTGCTTCTCCTTCCCTCCATTTGTAAACAAAGCCAAAATTCAATGAATAATATCGATGGCAAAAAGAAAAAATAAACAACAACAACAGCAGCAGCAACAGCACACAAACGTTACAAAGAAGACACACAATAATGTCGATTTGAAAATTGAGAGTTTTTTATGGGCCACATCGCAGAGAAAGAGATGATACGATATCAATGGGCAAAGAAGATGTTCGCATGCCTTCATACATTCAGATATGTTGAATGAAAAATTTCATATTCTAGAATTCAATGATATACAACACATATCGTTTTCGTAGAGGTTTGTTTGTTGTTTTTATGCTGTATTCAGTTTAGTCTCGTGCAAATCATTGAGAAGTTCGGTTCAATATTGTTCATAAAAGTGGTGCGCTTGCGGCTCGTGCTTGTTCAACTTCTTTTTTGTAAATCAAAAGTAGAGATAATTTACGAGAAGTAAAGTAACGCGCGAAAATTATTGTTTACAGACGAAAATGTAAATAGTTTTTTGGAAAAAGTGAAGAAGATAAAAAAGAAGACTAACGGAATACAGTGGAATAAAGGAAAAACAATATACATATACTATACACATAGGCACGATTCTATGGCTTCAATGTTTCAATGAAATATTTTTCTAAATTTTCTGGCACATTTTAAGCCATATTTCGTTTAAATATTCGTTAAACGCCCGCTACAGAGGCATACACTGGACAATTGAATTCGACTCGAATCAATATTTCAAAGTGGTTGAAATAAATAGAAAACAAAATATGCAATTTAAATGTGAATTGACAACAATAGTTTTCATTGTAAATTGGCTATTCGTTGCGGTCAGTCATGGCAAGTCGATCGATCGTTGTGAATTTGTCCATGAATTGAAACATTTTAATCCACAAATCGATTATCATGAACTTAATGCCTGGACATGTATCGCCCAGTATCAATCGAATTTTAACACATCGTCGAAAAATACGGACGCATCAGGTGCCACTTATCATGGAATCTTTCAAATTAGTGATGTTTACTGGTGTTCAAACAACTGGCAATTGGAACGATCGTGTAAAATTCGATGTGATCAATTGCATGATGTATTCTTAAAAGATGACTTCGATTGTGTTAAACGAATCTATGCCGAACATTTACGGATTCACGGAAATGGCTTCACCGCTTGGCCCATTTATCAACAATACTGTTCGGATGGACGTGATGTTATCAAGGATTGTACAATGGAGAAAAAACCAAACAGTGGTAAATCATTTCAACAAAAGGATAAAGCAAAAGCGATCGCAGAGAAGAAAGCTCATAAAATATATGAACGATGTGAATTGGCACGTGAATTACATTTTATACACAATCTACCGTTTGATCAAATTGCAACATGGGTGTGCATTGCAAGATATGAATCAAACTATAATACATCGGCTGTTGGGCATCTAAACGGAGACGGAAGCTTGGACCATGGACTGTTTCAGATCAGTGATATTTTTTGGTGTTCACCGCCCGGTCGCGGATGGGTGTGTGGATTAAGCTGTGCAAAACTCGAGAATAGCGATATTTCAGACGATGTTGAATGCATGAAAAAAATTTACGATGAACATCAACGGTTAGTATTTGAATTATTGCTCGGAAATTTTCATGTATTTTAAGTTTAGTTTCATTTTCAATTCTTATTAATTTGTTTTTTTTTATTAAAACAAAACTTTTTTTTCTTTTGTTCAAACAGGTTATCAGGAGACGGTTTCAATGCCTGGTCAGTGTATCCAGCTTATTGTAAACACAATGTGGATCAGTTTATAGCCGGCTGTTTTGATACGGATACTTCGAATGAGATAATCTTTCCGATGCATAGACCGGGCATTATTGCGCCGGCATCGATCGAAAAGCCAGCATTCAAAAAGAAAACTTTGAGCGGTGGTGGAAAGGTATTCAGTAAGTGTGAATTGGCAAAAGAGCTTCGCTACAAGCACAATTTGCCCAAAGATCAGATTCACACATGGGTGTGCATCGCGCAAACACTGTCTAGTCTGAATACAGCATTTGAAGCGCCAAAAAATGCTGATGGCAGCAGTAGTCATGGATTGTTTCAGATAAATGATCAATATTGGTGTGATGTAAATGGCATTGGAAAAGGATGTAATATCAATTGTGGTAGTTTAAAAGACGGTGACATCGCTGACGATGTTCAATGTGTGCAAACAATTTTCAACGAACATCAAAAACTGTTTGGTAATGGATTCGGTGCTTGGGGTCCGTACGAAAATCATTGCAAATACGAAACCGAAAATTCATTGAGCGAATGTTTTGCCAATGAACCATCAACTGTGGCCAATATTAAACCAAATAGTTTCTTTTTGCCGGCAAAATCACCAGAAATTGAACAAAAAAGTAGCAAAATCTATAAAAAATGTGAATTGGCCCGAGAACTACGAAATGTACACAACATCCCATTGGAGCAACTTCATGCATGGGTGTGCATTGCAAATCATGAATCACGTTTTGATACGGCCGCAATTGGTCGTCTGAATGGTGACGGTAGTTTAGATCATGGCCTATTCCAAATTAGTGACATTTATTGGTGTTCAAATTCTGGCCAAGGTAAAGGATGCAATGCAGCATGTTCAGATTTTAGAAATGCCGACATATCGGACGATGTACGGTGTGTGAAACAAATCTATGACGAACATCAACGTTTATTTGGAGCAGGTTTTCATGCATGGACCGTTTATGAACCACATTGTCGACATCAAACCAATCAATACATTAGCGATTGTTTTTCAGACGAAATTCGTCGTCCAGCGCCGCCACCAATAAAACCAACTGTTTCAATATTATCAAATTCGATCATCGACCAAGGTCGTGCCTATGAAAAATGTGATTTGGCCAAAGAATTACGTTGGCGCCACAATACACCAAAAGATCAAATTGCCGATTGGGTGTGCATCGCATTGTATTCATCGAATCTAGCAACATCGGCGAAGGGACAAAATTCCCATGGTCTTTTCCAAATCAATAATGAATATTGGTGTTCAAACGATGGTAACAGGGGCAAACAATGCAATTTGGATTGTAGCACATTAGAAGACTCCGATATAACCGACGATTATCAATGTGCGAAACTTATTTATGATACGCATCAAAAGTTGTATGGATCTGGATTTGGCGCTTGGAATGTCTATGAACCATATTGTCGCGGACGATCGTCGGATTTAATTGCTGGATGTTTTGATGATATCTCAGTCGTTACCAATTTTAAACCGTCACTGCCGAAAAGCTTTTCATTCAATGCAAACAATCAAATTACCAATACCAATTCAATCGAATCGGATGGAAATGGAAAAGTTTACGAACGTTGCGAATTGGCGAGAGAGTTGCGATATAAATACAATTTACCATTGGAACAGATACATACGTGGATTTGTATCATACAACACGAATCAAATTTCGATACATCGGCAATTGGACGATCGAATGCCGATGGCAGTTTAGATCATGGACTATTCCAGATCAGCGACATTTATTGGTGCTCCAATACGGGAGTAGGTAAAGCATGCAGCGCATCGTGTGCTAGTTTTCGTGACGCTAACATTGACAATGACGTCCAGTGTATCAAGCGAATTTTCGATGAACATGAAAGGTAAAAATTGCATTTGCTTAATTCTATTTTTCATATATATTTTTTGACGGGAAATATTCGCTTTTCAGATTATTCGGGTCTGGCTGGAATGCATGGACAACGTACGAACCATTCTGTAAACATACAACATCTTCATTCGTCGATGATTGTTTTGCTAACAACGAACCACGCAAAAATGACACGAAAATATTATCCACTTTATTTGTTCAACCAGTGGCTGCATCTTTGACACCATTGAATCAATTTAAGCATTCAACATTTGCACCATTCACACCCGCACCGCCAACGAAAAAAATCCAATCGGCAACGGCACAATTTGTAAACTATTATACCACATCAACTACACAGCGTCCATCGTTTGGAACAGTGTCACGATTTACAACGAAATCGCCAACGACTCCTGTAAAATTCCCAACATTTGCTGCAGCATTCCCAACATTTGGCACTCAATCGACGACGCCAGCTTCAGTTCAAGCTCCGATCGGAATAAAAACCACTAATCAACACACAATCGCGGCACTACGTAATAATTTCTTTACAACAACGACACCAAAACCATCTTTCCCATTGAATCAATTGACTGGCTTTTCCAAGAAAACTAATCAGCTCCCAACACCTGCACCGCAAACTTTGCTTATGCCAAAAACCACAACGCAAAAATCGTTAATCAAAACCGTTTCTAATTCGGCCAAGCCAACATCCAGTAGTAAATTTAATTTGTTCGATTTGTATCTGGGTCGATTGACGACAAAAGCACCAGAACGATATACTTTTCCAACACCAGCACCAAAAAATTCGATTACATTTGCAAACCATTATGCTGTTCGTCCCACTCAAGCCACTTCTCCGATTGCGGCACCGTCATTTTCTGTAAATTCCTATCGCCTATCGGATACAAACAAAATACAATCGACGACGACGATTAAACCGACAAGCAAACAATTTGAAACATTTGCCCAATCGCAAGTATCGAACATCGCACAATCTCCTCGAATTTTTAATTCAACACACCAAATATCGAATGCAGCAATTTCAACGACCCCGAAACCACGTGTATGGCGTTATTCATTCACGGGAATAAAACAGCAATAAAGTCACAATTCAATCGCTCATCAATGAACATGCAGAAATATATATATATATATATTGAAACCGATTACGCGATCGGTATTCTGTATCTGATCTCATGCCGATTTTATAATCGATTTAAAATATTTTCTTTAAAAAAAGTGTTGAATTTGCTGAATGGAATCATTTAATGATTTCTCGCTCTCCTTCCATGTAAAATTCGAAGCATTTTAATGTACCGTCATATGTCATGGACGAAATAAGAAATTGTAAAAAAAAAATTAAGTATTGATCGTGCGATAGAACGATTTTAGTTTATGTGTAAATAAATATCGAATTTGAATCACAATGTATATCTTTTTAGTTCTTTTTGTGTGCTTAAACATTTGTGACATCGTGTATCGCACACTGATTGTAATTTATGTGAATTAATTGTGTAAAAATATGCATATATCGAAAATAAAAGCGAAAGTTAACATAATAGAATTCTTGAAAATCTGCGGTTTATCGTGGAATTATTTCTTTCAAAATTCTTGATATCGAAGAATTTTAAAAAAATCAAATTTAAATCAAATTTAATGGTTATGGGTTCATTTTCTTTTTCTTTTAATACTCAGGGGGACCAATCGTCATCACATTGCCTCATATGCTTAATACGGCTCCCGAATATCAAACTGTGAGCGGTCTAAAACCAGATTTAGAAAAGCACTTAATTTTCGCTGACATTGAACCGGTTTGTATTGATGATTTTCCATAATTGGTTTGTTCTTATTTCAGTTTTGTACATCATTAATTTATTTTGATTTTCTTATTTTGTCCAAAATTTACAATCATTCTAATCATAGAATACGGGGTATCCGATAAGAGGTGCGAAACGGCTTCAATTGAATATGTTTCTAAAAAAAATCAATTCGATCGATGTAACGGAAAAACTAAAAACATACCTATTTCCAATTGTTTGGATTGAAGAGGTAATTCCTTTATTAAAAATTAAGCAGGTCTTAACATCCTGATTAATCCAGCAGGATAATTTAGTAACTAAAATGAGTTGTAGTGATATGAACAGGGTAATTTTATTTTATTTTCAGGGTCTAGAACTAAATGAGGATATGCAATCATTAGTCCATTGGAAATTAACATATATTTTATTACTTCTTGACGTTGTTCATTATACAATGCTTATCGGTGGTATTTTAATATTCACAACATGCTCGATATGGTATTTAATTCGACGAAATCAAGAAAACAAAATTACTCCATTGACGTGATTGTTCGCCATTTGTTTTTGATTTCAACTAAATTATTAAAGAATAATTATTTTCACATGAATTTCGTTTTTATTTTCTTCACAATAAAAAAAAGAATAAATCTATTGAAGGATCATATCAGGAAAAGGTATTGAGTGTATCGATTAATTTCCGGAATTTTTTTGGTGAAAAGATACATTAATTTAAAAAAAAAACCGTACAATATTAACCAATGTATTGCCCATCGTTAGCTATGACTTCCGCCCATCTTTTCGGTAGCTTGTCGATTCCGCGTCGAAAGAATTCCTCATCTTTTGAAGCTATCCATTCATCGATCCATTTTCGCACTCCTTCAGCATTTCGAAACGATATCTCGGACAAGCCCATTTGCATCGATCGAAACAAGTGGTAGTCTGAAGGAGCAAGGTCTGGAGAGTACGGGGGGTGATCAAGCAGATCCCAACCGAACTCCTCTATCTTTTGTTTGACGATGTGTGCTCGATTTGGCCTAGCATTATCATCGTGAAACAAAACTTTGTGGTGCTTTCTCGCTACCAACGGCCGTTTTTCGTTCAATGCACGTGCCAATTTGTTCAGTTGTTGTCGATAGAAATCAGCTGTAACCGTTTCACCTTGTTTTAGCAGCTCATGATACACGATTCCTCCCTGATCCCACCAGATGCACAACATAACCTTCTGGCAATGAATATCTCGTTTTGGCTGTGAAGATCCTGGTTGGCCTGGATCAACATACGCTCCTTTACGTTTTAAGTTATCGTAATAGATCCACTTTTCATCGCCAGTGACAATACGATTCAAAAAGCTATGTTTTTTGTGCTCGGCAAGATGTTTTTGGCATGCTGTGATTCGTGCTCTCAATTGATTTTCATTGAGTTGATGTGGCACCCATTTCCCTAGCTTTCGAATCTTTCCCATTGCACGCAAACGTTCACAAATGGTTGATTGAGTGACATTTAACTCTAATGCAAGTTCTTTTTGTGTTCGGGCTGAGTTTTCATCGAATAATGCTTGCAAATCTTCATCTTCGAATTTTTTTGGCTGACCTGGGCGATCTTTGTCTCGAACATCAAAATCACCACTTTCAAATCGTTGAAACCACACGTAACATTGGGTTTTTGCGATAGCATGTTTGCCATACAATTTCACAAGTAAACCATGACTTTCAGCTGCAGTTTTCTTTGCAAAAAAATAGCTTAACAAAATTTCCCGCAAATGCTGTTTCTTTCTCCAATTTTCAAAATTTTCCATCGTTGAAAAAAAAAAATGATACACACAAACAAATGAAACACTTTTGACTGATTTTGACATTATTTGAGTAGGCCTTTCAAATGACGTATATGTCATTGATCTACTACAACGCACAAGTGGTGACATCTGTTGTCAGATTCCGGAAATTAATCGATACACCCAATAACATAAGATAAAATGTTTCGTCAGCATTTAATCGTTGACTTTATTTTTCACTTGAATTTTTCCACTATAAATCAATAGTGCTACTACAAATGCTCACCAGAGTACGGTGTTGCTTAAATTGGTTTTGAAAAACAGCCGATTAAAGTATTTCGTTTTGGTTCAGTATGTTCGTTAAGTTAAATCTTCAGTTTTGATTCGAACTTCAGTGTTCAAAGCTGTTAACAATTTAGAGAAAAAACTTATTCGAATTTTGGTAAACATTCGACATTTCGATATTATTATTATTATTATTGACGGCGGGCCGACGCGTATTCCGGGCTAATGTTAAATTGGTAAATCACGTCTAAAGTATAAGTTTTGCTCAAGTTTCTCATCTAATTTCATTTATTTTCAGCGAAAAATCCAAAATTGGAAAATATTATTAGATGTAGTGCCATCATTTAAGGGATACAACGAGAACAGTTGAATTAATGAAAGATATCGGCGCATGGGATACCATCAAATTGATTTGAATTCGACCTGTCAAACAAATGCAGGTGAATTTACGTTAACGTATCACTAAAAATGTTGTTAAAAACTGTTAGGTTTGGGATGTATGCTCTGACGCTTTGATCATCTTCAATCACGACAATTTCATCTGTGATGTTGTCCATGTTTAGAATGACATACTCGTTCACTCGATTTTAAATGAATTACAACCATGCGATAAAAAATGATGCAAAAATTGACAAGGTCATTTTGGAACAAGATAGTTTAATAATACAGTAATGTACAATTGGTTTGGAGACTTTTTTTGCAGAACTATTGGTAAATATTTTATTTTTGTTTTTCAATATTTATTTATAATGTGTAGTATTGAAGTTCAAAATTTCATGAATTCAGTGCACCTTGTTGACAATTTTCAGTTGAATTCAAACAAATGGTACCAATGGAAACAATTTAAAAAGAAAAGACTTCCAATCTTACAATCAATTCCACTTGACGCGTTAGACGATCCAAACCGACCAACTCTTGTAGTGCTGATATATCGCTAACAGCTAAACCAATTAAACCGCTAGATTGTCTGGAGCACCGATGCCGATTATGTTGATGCCGTTAATAATGCATTTTTATGGAATTTTTTGTACACAAATCCTATTCAATTTATAAATTTATCCGTTTTTAATTTGAAATCGATTTTATTTATATTATGGCAGTATTTACAAAAATATAAGAAAAAATCAGTATTTGAAATGGCAATGGCTGCGGTGTGAACAATCCTGAATACAAATTCATCATAGTCTTATATTATGCGACACAGGGTCTAGACCGAATGTCGTATTTAAAATGTACAATGCGTCTAAGTACGAGTGCGACATTGTGTCCAAGACCCTGTGTCGCATAATTGAACGTCATACTGTCTAAGACCTTATGACGTTAGACCGATTGACAGTAACCCGTTGTACCACTACAAATAACTGGAAAACCTGGAAATGGACTGGCTCCCAACTTGGTTTCGTTCATGCCAGCAGTTATACAGCACAAATTTTAGTCCGGGTTTAATGGCGCGCAGTATTTGGTTACAGATCACTCAACAGGTGCCACCTTTGAAGGTTCGTTCAAACAATTTTCGGCTATACTGTGTTTGTGTATTTGAATTTATACATGTCACGAAATTCAGAGAAGACGTTGAAAACAGCGCCTTACAGCGGTTGCCAACTAAACTAGCGAACATACTGCCGCTAGCACAAATTTTTGCCATTTCACAATGTTATGAAATTGGCTGCTTTACTGTAACGATATTTATGTTCCTTAAATTTATTCGAATTTTCTCAATCATAGACAAGTCATTGCAATGAATTTGGATGTTACTAACAATAATGAATTGTAATATGAAAGATCAGCTCATGTGTAACTTATGATCGATGTGGCTTCCAGATGATGTTTTTCTATACAATACAACAAAGAAATAATAAAATCCTTTACTCAAAATTATATATCTCAATCAGAAAAATATGAATTTATATCGAAAAAAAAAATGTCAAACGGAAATCAAGAATACTCAATCTTTTTGTCTTTCTGTATTATAAGAAAAATGAACAGCTACAGATTATTTTGGAAATTCCATTAACTTTTATTGTTCACGAAAAACAAATATAATAATGAATAATCAAAATAGATTTGAGGATGAAAATCAGAGCTGTTATCAGCACCAGAGAAGTACGAGACTTATGCCCATATAATTTTTCAAGCTCCGCACCTGAATACAAGAAAGGACATCACTTACAAGAAAAGTGCCTGCACCTCTGTGATAACAGTTTTGATCAAAATATCAAATTGTAGTTTTCACACAATTATATTTTTTGAGTTTTGCCAGTTCCATGGAGGTTGTTTTTAAGAACAGTGTCTGTTAGAGTTCAAAAATTGCTGATTTTATACGTGTTCAAGTGCATTGTCTATTAACGTTGCTAATATGAAGATTTAGTCAATTCTACGAAGTAAAAAACCAAAAGTGAATCCAATCCCAAATACTACTGGGTTTTATGTTAAAAAAAATGCATTTGTATTGCACAAAATTATGGAAAAATGATGTATTTTTTGAATTGATACATAACACATAAGAAAACCGTAAGTGTAAAAATGGTCGTTCTTTTCTGAAGTTTATTGAAGGATAAAATTTGTGTAGGAAAATCACAAATTAGCACAAATGAGGTGTAAGTGCCGATAAGACCAATATCCATCCACTTCTTCGCTTTATAGTCAAATTTGAGTTCGATTGCCACATATCGTATGTTTACATATTGCTTAAAAGATGTCGCCATTGAAAGCGCGCACACACACCGTATGACATCTGTAACAATTCAGCCATCTGATGTTAAAATTTGAAATGACAACCTTTACTGCTACGTGTATTGGTAATTTTCATAGTAGTACTTTCATTAGCTCAGTTCGATGTCAAATACTTGGTCAAATATCAAATAAACAATTGCAGTTGTCTTAAGTTCAATATACCAATAAATCATCGATTTCAATGGTAGTAATGGTAATTCAAAATTTCACCACTAGTTGTCGTATTTATTACCGATCTCGTTTTTGTGTGTGGATTTAATTAATTGAAAAATGTCTACGTAACTACAAGCTCATGTGAATGTGCTAGAAAATGTGAAAAATTGCATGAAATCTATTATTGCACTAACACCAATACACCCGTCGACACACAAACAAATGGGTCACAAACAAATGTATTTGTTGTCATCTGTAAATCACATATGAACAATGAAACTTTCAGATGTTTATTCATTTGTTTTTTTTTTTTATAATTCATCTCATAAGATTGCAAAATATTATAAAATTATGATATTTTGCGTTAAAAGGTTTGGTATACCAAATCACTTATAAAACTTGATGTTCATGATGAAAATCTCAAAAATGAATCGCATTCAGTTATTTCATATTGAAAATATCAACCAAAATCGAAAAAAAAAAAAAATATGAAAATTCAAAATATAGTTTTGCTACCCAGCACAAAATTGACCACGAGAAGAACTAAGGCCTATATGAAAATGTATGATAACATATGATAAATTTTGTCTTCTTTAATAGTTAAAATGAAGGTCAGGAGTTTTTCTTTATAATTTAACTCCTCCGACATGACATCCAATGTTATCTCATTTCAAATAGTAGTAAATATATCGTAGACTACTCCTTCCACTTCGAGATAGTTTTATTCATTTGGTTTTATAAGTTGTTGACTGCATGTACAGTAAACATTTCAATTTGACAATCCGTTTAAAGGTGATGTAAGATCGGTTCAGGATTAACAATTACTATGGACATTTTCGACAAAAAATACAGCATCATTTTGCATTTTCTAATTGGTTTATCGTGTAAAGGACTGGTATTTGACCGAGTTCATGGATATTAACATTATTGTGATTGTTTGAAAGTTTTTTTTTATTCGGTGCGAAATCAATATGTATATTTGTCTCCATAAATACAACTACAATAACATACAAGGTGTAGCACTAGTACAATTGTACATTACATGGGTTCGAACAAAGAAAAACTGAATTCAATTGAAGTAATTAGAGAAAAAAATCTCTATTTATCGATAACATGTGGAAACATATTTAAAAAAACGAGATGAAAAAAAAAAACTTCGTAAAACAAAGAACTTTAGTAAAAATGAAACCAACATGAGTTGTTTACTCCAGTGTAATTTTTAATGATAAAAACTGGTATTTCATGTGCAATGATGTATTAACATACGATGTCGATGTATTAGTGCTATACTGTATCGCATACATAGAAAAACTTCTAGAATGGATTGGACAGTATAAATAGGAGTAGTCCTACCATGATGAAATCATTCAGTTTTTGTGATTCGTTGAGTGTACACATCATCGTTGTAAAGAGTGTTAAAACGTTGAACTCTACTCAAAGTGAAAGCTTTTGTTGTCCAGCAGTTTTGTTTTTTTTTTGAGAAAGACAAATAAAAAGTTACAAACTGAATCCAACGAATTCAAAAATTCAGGTGTGTTTTGGGTGTAAATATCTATTTATTAAAATAAACGAAAAATCCCTTCACCACAGTAGACATTTTAAAAGACATTTTTTATATATATATACATACACACACATACACACAAACGTAGACGGTCGCCATTTTGAAATTTCTTTTCTCGATCGCAATACAAAGAAAGACTCTCAAACGAAACCAAACTACTTACCACACAATGTTTTGAAAATACGATAATCAAGATTTACGTGTGGCGGCCATTTTGACAACGGCCTTAATAAGCGCTGAATGAGATATGCGTATGAAACAACTGGAACGAGCATTGAAATGGGCCAAACTAAATTTAGATATTCGTCAACAAAGTGAATCAAAATCAGTCAAAGAAAAGGAAAAGCTAAAGCAAGAAGTTGGCGATATGTGGAATAGTGAATTGAGTGAATTAGATGAATTTATAAATAGTTTGAGCCAAATAAAAACATCGATAGTGCAATAAACAGCTAGAGGAAGATAGAGAGAGAGGAAGAGAGAAGAAAAAAACCAATAACGTGGCCTAGTATTTTGTGATCTAGTTAAATTCAAATGCTCCATGACAACAAAATCGATGCAATACATAGATGTATGTGGTATATGCAAAATGGCAAAATAATAAAAAAAAGGGTCAACATATTTACCATTGTGTTGATATGATTGGTTAAACGTTGTGCGCGAAATGTGCGAATTTTTAATGTGAACAGATTTGTGTACAGTTTTCGATACAACGTTTGTATATATGTGTGTGTTTGTTTTTGTTTTTCTTTACATTAGGCAAATCAAAATATCGTAGCGAATTCAAAGATGCCCGGTGTGCAAGTTGTAAATATGCGACCAAATGAACCATCGACACAGAATAAAACGGTTTCACCTCGAGTAGTTATCAATCCACACATGGTGGCGACGAGGCCGGCCAATCCCGGTGTAAGTGATTCATCATGTTATTGTGCATTTTAATTGTTCTGTTTTCATTTTTTCTTTCTCGCAAAATCGAAAATGAAATCAAATTGAAAGAAAGAAAAAAAAAACCGTCGACAAACAAAACTAAATATGTGTTATTCGCTCATTTCACCAGATTACGTTAAGTGCATTGCAAACGGGACAACCGGGTTCGGCGCTGCTACTCAAAACGGAAAATGGGCAATATCGTTTACTGCATGTCGGCCCATCAACGCAAACAACACAACAAAATCTACCAAATAGTGGTGTAAATCCAACAATTCGTATACAAACGGTTCCATCTGTAAGTAGATTCACCGGACCACCATTAGCACTCAGAAAAACAATTGTAACTCAGCAGCCAGTGAAAACGAAGGCAAATATTACTAAAAATCATTCCGAAATTACCGTTTATTGTTGAATTGAAAGCATCTGTTGTCTTTTTTTCCTTTATTTTCTTAAAATATAAATGTTCTATGTAAAAAAAACAAACAAACCTTTGGTTGATATCTATTTTGATGTCTGATGCGTGTACCTCTTATCTATTTCACTCACTTCATTTGTTTTCTGTACTTCCGTGTGATGTTTCTTCCTTAATGTTCCAAAGTGACATTCGTATTCTTGTTTTTTTTTTTCCTAAATTGAGCACACCCAAATCCATTCGATGGTTTTATTCAAAATTTCCCAAGAATCAAAATTTAAAAACAAAATCTACCGAATAAATTTGAATTCATTTATCTAAAACCAATCAAATAAACATCCTTCCTCTATCTAACATGAAATCTAAAATTTGGCTTATACGAATGAAATAATTGCGATTTCGAACACGAAATTCATGTTAATTTTCCAAAATTGATTGGAAGCAACACACAACGGTAGATGAGATGCATGATCCCATCTGTACAATTACCGTAAACATTTATTAACACTAATGAACAATTTAGCTGTGTTATATTTTCATACATATATAAATTATAATCGTAGAAAAAACAAGGCCATGCTGCCAATATTTATCAATGTTTTTTCCATATACATATACCTTTTTACATTCTATTTCTATTTATTCTCGACGAGATCTATATAATTTCGATTGAGAATGAGAGTAATTGCATCGCTTTCTATCTTACGTTTATGGCTGACTATTATTAATTGTTTAGAGAACATGTTTTTTTTAAGTGACATTTACACGTTAAACATAAATGTTTTAGTAAACAAAAAAAAAACAAGAAACAATATGACACTGAACCGATACTCAAAATAAATTTGATAAAATAGATGCAAAACTAACAACACTCTAATGCATTGAATTAAATTTGATTATGTTTTCTATAAACGAAAACAAAATTTAAATAACACAACAATGAGTATCGGCTTCCATATTCTATATGTCATCGTTTTCAGTATTGAATGTCAAATTTGAATGTGAGTTTGTTGTTACTTTATTTAGCAGGTGTCAACGGCAACACCAATAGTTGTAAATTCGGTTCACACAACGTCAGCAATAAATACAGTGACTAGATCTCGAGAGAGTATCAATACAAGTCAATTACCGCCAATAGCCACCGTAGCACCTGTATCTCATACAATCCAACAAGCAGCATTAACACCTCAGCCTCAAATTCAAACGCAGCAAGTGAATGCACCAAACGCGGTGCCAGCTAGCATTGTTACAACGAGTGCAACTCCTTCGCATGTACGTATATTAACGTCATCGCCAAATGAAATTGTCACAATGTAATGACATTTGGTTTTATTCTATATTCATTTCCATTCATTCATTTTTCAGGCCAATTTAAATAATACCAAAGAGAAATGTCGGAAATTTTTATCTAATTTATTGGAATTGTCGAGCAGAGAACCAAAACCGGTTGAACAAAATGTTCAGGAACTTATACAAGAACTGATCGATGCAAATGTGGAACCAGATCAATTTTGCGATCGACTTGAACGTTTATTAAACGCAAGTCCGCAACCATGTCTCATTGGCTTTTTAAAGGTAAAAAATAAAATTCACATTTCATATGTTTTGCATGGACTGATTTCATATCGTTGATAAAAATTATAGAAGAGTTTACCGCTCCTTCGACAATCGTTATGTAGGAAGGAACTGACGATTGAGGGAATAAAACCGCCACCGCATAATGTTGCATTCGGACCATATACAACGTCGAATATTGCCGCTCAAGTTAGACCTGTAGTTAATTTACCAGCAGGTAATTTCGATTTGTTTCGCTTCACATTTAATGAGTTTTAAACTTTGAATTCAATTAGGACAATCCAATCAATTTAACCCATTTCGTTTTTAATTTGTTCAGCAGCCGTTCGTATGGTTCCCCAAACAACACGACCAGCAATCACTAAACATACTGCCCCAGTTCGGCTTCGATTGAATCCTGTGCAGACAAACGTTGAACCCAATGGAGGTAAATAACTTTAATAATTGACAATATGTGACAAACGATACGAATGAATGACGTTTTCTTTTTTTTTTTAAATTGTAGCGATTCAAGCGCCTATAAATGTGCCGAGAATGATGAATTCCACACAAATCCGTGCTTCAAGTGGTGCAGCAATCATACAACAGCATCCTGCAAATGTACAAATTCAATCACATCCGCCAGCTTTACATCCCGTCAGCCAAAATGCTTTTGCACCAGGTGGAGCACAGGTAAAATATTCATACTGAATTGACAGATCAAATAAAGCTAATTTATGAATTTTAAACACGTGAGCCCATGTTTTTCATTCGGTTCATTTGAAATGAATGTGCGTTTCTGTTATATACGTTTTCAATAAATTCGCTTTTCCAATTTCAGATACGTGCCACAAATGTATCTCTTGCGCGTTCGTCTCCAGCTACAGTTCAAATTAGACAAACGGTAATGGAAAATGGTGCACACATCATTCAACATAATGGTGAGTGAAATTTTCAGCAACTCATCTCATTTTTTTTTTTTTTTTTTCAATTTGAAATTTGATTAAAATGGAATTTTAATTACTTATTAATTATAGCAAAAATGTTGAAAACGACTGCCGTAGGTAATACAATTCAACAACAGTCAGTAACACCAACGATAAAAGTGGGATCAACGCAAATAAAACCGATAATCAATACATCAAATGCAGCACAGCCACAACCAATTATCATATCACAGCCACCTGTTCCAAAGCTGGAGGCATCAGAACCAATGAACAAAGGCACAGCTAAAGATACTTCCGCAAATACAACATCTTCCACAATAACAACACCTGTAAGTGGTTTTATTAAAAACACAAATTCGATATTTATACGCCTCATTCAAACATGCAATAATAAAATCAATTTACATTTTTCGTTAGGCCTCACCGAAAATGGTTCCGATTAAAAACCAATCGGGTTCAGCGTCATCAAAATCGAGCGCCGCAAACAAAGAAAAGGAACGAAAAGCATCGGCTTCATTTTTCCAACAATCATCAATGTCTTCTTCGATGTATGGCGATGACGATATAAACGATGTTGCCGCTATGGGTGGTGTCAATTTGGCGGAAGAATCACAGAGAATTTTAGGTTCAACAGAGTTAATCGGTCGTCAGATTCGGTCGTGTAAAGATGAAGTGTTCTTACATTTGCCGGCGCTTCAAGCGCGAATTCGTGGTATCATGAGCAAACATGGTTTGGATGAGCCAGGCAACGAAGTTGCTGTTCTCATATCGCATGCATGCCAAGAGCGTTTAAAAAATATCGTTGAAAAATTGGCTGTGATAGCCGAACATCGAATCGACATAATCAAAGTAAATATAATACAAAAATATTCAATGTGAGTCGACGGCAAAAGAGTAAAACTAATGAACATGTTTCATTTGGCATTTAAATAGATTGATCCACGGTATGAAATTACGAAAGATGTACGCGGTCAAATTAAATTTCTCGAAGAACTGGATAAGGCTGAACAAAAACGGCACGAAGAACAAGAACGTGAAATGCTAATGCGTGCGGCTAAATCAAGATCAAAAACTGAGGATCCTGAACAGGCCAAACTTAAAGCGAAGGTAAATCAATTTGCAAAAAATGCATTTTCAATCGAATACATTGAATGTAAATTGACATTAATTGAATAGGCTAAAGAGATGCAACGGGCTGAAATGGAGGAGCTTCGGCAACGAGATGCGAATTTGACCGCTTTGCAAGCTATTGGGCCACGTAAAAAACCAAAACTCGAGAATGACACGACAATTGCGGCGACGGTAAGTAGTCGATAACAATTACCAGATATAATGATTAAGTGTTCACAGTGGAACTACAGTGTGTGTGTCTTCTAATAGAATGCTTTTTTTTTGAAAAATGACAACTCTGGTATTGTTATGTCCAAGCGTCCATTACTAAACAATTACATGAGTATTTATTCCACCCGCCATTTCGTTCGATTGCATGGGCACAAGCAATAAGCATAATTATGAATAAAAGATTGTCGCTGAAGGAAGGAGCTGAGCTTTAGATAGCATCTAATCTATTAAAAGACACACTGAAACTAAATTGAGATGTTTTTATGCAGATTCCACCATTATGAATGCATATATTATTTTTTTCATTTTTGGAATTGCAAAGTTGTCAATTGTTGTTTTTTTCTTCTCATTTGTTATGGATTTTAGGCGGGAGGCAACACATTAGGTATCGGAGGCGCAACTGTACCACTTCGACCGCGTATTAAGCGGGTCAATTTACGAGATATGATCTTTTATTTAGAACAAGAGCGTGACACATGTAGGAGCACAATGCTGTATAAATCATACCTCAAGTGATGTATTTTCCTTCGGACATTTCGTAATAAGATATACATAAACAATTACTTTTAACTTCATCAATAAAAAAAAAAATGATGACCGTGTATTACTATAGAGTAGAAAAAGCAATAATTTTTCGCATTGGATTTATATATTGTATTTCATGGCTGGTTTTTATTTTATTTATTCATTGA